CTGTACAGAAACTGAGCTAATTTTCTGAATTAGTATTTTACTCTTCATTTGAACATCACAAAATTGGCATTTCGTAGTAAAAGACACAAATGTAGCTAAAAGCTTTACCTAAAGTATAGTATATTACTTAAATTAAAAAATATTTATTCAAAAACATTTATGGACTATCTCTGCTTGCAAGGCCTGTCCCAGGCTTAGGCATTAAAATTAACCAAGACTCTCTTACAGCCCTGCCTTTGAAGAGCTACAAACCTTTGGTGGAAATGGACATAATAAGCAGAAAACTGATAAGGAAGACCCCAAGCAATGATTACATCCACCGCTCTTTACCATTAGAATTATTATCTGAATTTCAGAACTCATTATCTGAAAGTATTAATATGCCTTCTAAAGCCTCTTAAAGGGCACTCCCCTTGAAACAAATTTCTATTGTGCGCTTCACCCCAAAGGGAACACTCTGGCTTTAAAATTTTAAAACAGAGGAATACTGCGTTTTTTCTCCCAGCTTTATTGAGATATAATTGACATGTAACATTGAATGAGTTTAAGGTATAAAACATGTTGATTTGGAAAAAAAATATTGCTTTTATAAAACACATAGCACAACTAGGTAATAATATATAATAAAGCTAAACCAAACTTTCGTGATCTCTAGCTGTAATTTTTCAGAATTGTTTATCCATCATGGAGACAAAGAGCAATGTGATAGTGGTATTTTCTTCTACTGAGGAAGTCCAATTATTTTTCCCTGGGCACCTATATTTTTTTCAATCTGTCGCTGCTCTCTTTTTCCTTTAAATAAAACACTTCATTCTAGAAGTCTTTATCCCTTACTTATATATTCCCATTACTTTCTTGTATTATTTCAAAGAAATGTTAAATCTGATATTCAATAATTTAAACATTTGACAGTTGCGAAGTTAAAAATATATTGGCTTATTCAGCTAGTGTAGATAGTGCTTTATATTTGAAAGGTATTCTTTATCCTGTGAACAGTCTCTACAAGAAAACCAACATATAATCCAAAATATTAATGGGGGTGGGGGCTGGTTTTAAGAGACAGCACAACTAAAACTCTGAATTGTAAGGCAGAGGCTCTGTTGCCTTTCCTTTTGCAGCAAAGACTGAACCAGTGGGAAAAGGGTAATCAGGTTGAAAACCCGTATTTTGTTTTTGATGATCTATTCTCCGTTTCCTTGGAAACAGAGCTGGCAGGCACAGAATTGCTGGCATTATTTTTTTTCTTTTTCTTTTTTTAGCTGTGAAGCATCAAAGAAAAGGTGAGGTTTTATGACTGTAATCTGTAGACTCTGACTTATTTTCAAATAAATTAAAAACATATATTTATTCAATGCCTATTCATATAAGGCGGTAGGAGGTCAAACCAACATATAAGGTAGTAGGAGGTAAAACCAACAAATTTAATAAAGGGCTTTAAACCAATTGATTTAAATAAATTTTAGTTTCCAATAGCCAATCTATATTTATGGGGTTTTAAAGAAAAAGAATAAAGTTTATTTTAAAAACTCTAGTGTGAGGGTGGTGCACTGACACCAGTATAATCTAGTAAAATTAATTTTAGAAAACAACTAGATTCCCACGCTAGATGGTACAATTGCTTCTTCCTCTGTACAAAAACCAGGTAAGCCCTGGCTGGTGTGGCTCAGCTGGTTGGGCATCACCCCATGCATGGAGAGGTCTCTGGTTCGATTCTAGTCAGGCACATGCCCGGGCTGCAAGCTTGATCCCCAGGAGGGATGTGCAGGAGGCAGCCAGTTGATGGTTTTCTATCATGGATGTTTCTTTCTCTCTCTCCCTCAACCCTCCACTCTAAAATGAATAAAAACATATTTTTTTTAAAATTAGGTAACATGAAGGAGGTTACTGTGTGTGGAAAAGTGAGGCTTTGCCTCCAGTAAATAAAGCAGCAAACAAAAACCAGTCGGAGTAAGACGAGAATCACATGCTTTCACTTCTATGTGGAATATATAATAAAAAACAAAATAAACTGATGAGCCAAATAGCACCAGACACACAGAAGCATGCAGGAGACTGATTTGAATTTCAGGGGAGAGGGGGAGGGGAGAGATTAACCAATGAATTTACATGAATATTTGCATAGCCCATGAACAGGGACAATAGTGCAGCGAAGATCTGCGGAGGGGGCAGGAGCAGAGTGGAGGGAGTCAGTGGGTGGGGAAAAGGGACATTTGTAATATTTAATAAAGATAAAATTTTTTTTTAAAAAACTAAACAAACCTAACAGGTTTTCCGAAAAACTGTTCCATTAATGCAATTACGAAGTGTCTCGGTGGAGAGGTGATTATCAACTGATTGCATGGCCTTTTCCTTCTTGAACGACGGCATTCATTTAAGCTCTAAAAACCACACCTGGAGGAACCCTGACTGCGATGAGAAGGCAAGAGCTATAGGTGACAGCTGCAGGGGAGATTTGTCTCTTTTAAGATTAGTAAGACCTGAGCATACTGTGCATGCTTCAGGGGAAGTGGGACAGATGGAGAAGGTTTAACAGAGAATCCAACGTGATGGAACCAATTCCCTGAAGAGAAAAGGGGTGCAGGGGAGGGCACTACTGCACAACCACAGGGCTGTGCTCCTGATGTCCTCTCAGAACAGCAGCTCCCCATAGTGCCAGCCATGGTTCTCAGCGCTTCAGATGTTCTGACTGAATCAGGACGGATGGCGATGAGCAACTTGGAAATTAAGAGTTGAAGGAATGTGCACCTGAAAATCAAAATCTCTGTGCATGAATAGGAAGCTAGAAGGCTGTACTGAAAATCTGCTAATAGAAAAAGAAGAGTCGCTGTAGAGAGCTTCAAAGGAGTGGTCTGCAGAATAGGAACGCTGACCAGAAACGCACACATATGTCTGAACAGGAACTCAAATAATTTTGTCATTTTCTCCAGCGAACCTCAGGTACACGAGTGTCAGGGCTCAGAGTCAAACCGCGGTCAGCCCAGGCTGGAAGTCTGTAAGCAGAGATCAGGAAGCTGACAGCACTGGCCCACGGTGGTAAGTCTTGCTCCGGAGGGTTAGTTTCTATATGAAAGGAAGGGGAGCCAGGAGGGGAACATGACGGGTAGGAAAGGGAAAGGTAAAAAGTAGAACCACAAAGATGACAAACATAGAGAATCCATGGACTCTCTCCCCTGCTCCTGTCTGGGGGTACGACCAAGGCAGGAGGTGCCCACACTCATGAAAGCTCCAGAAAAGCAAGCTCTGTGGTCAGGGTTTCTCCATGGGGCCGTCCTGGGACCGGGAGATCCGTGTCACTCAGTGCAGCCCCCTGACCAGGTCCCTGGCATCCCTTAGGGGCTTGTCAGAAAGCAGGGCCCCTCCGGCAGGGCTGAGTCAGGAGCTGCTCGCACACACAACCTCCATGGGAATTCCCCGTGCACATGGAGTCTAGGCAGCACTGAGGTGAGAGCTGCAGACTCACCCCTGGTTTGTGTGCTGGTCATGACACGCCAGGAGAAACACGGGCAGACATTCCATCTGCGATGTTCTCAATGCATGCCTCTTTCTACTGTAAAACTTAACCCCTTCCCCAAATGATTTGTCAACCCTGGCACGGCCTCCCCCCTCATCCCACCCCACATCCTTGGTGTTCTCAATTCTGAATAGCAGGGTGCTGTATAAGGTAAACTAAAAGCTTTGAGTTTTTAAAATTCTTTGATTTTTATGTGTCATAAAATAGCCAAACTTCCTCTGCACAGGAAAAACAAAACAAACCAAAAAACAAACAAACAACAACAACAAAAAACACCCCACCAGGGAATCGGCCCGAGTGAAATGCAATTCAGTCAGCGCCTGAAATAATTCTAAGAATTTTGCAGTTACACACACACACACACACACACACACACACACCAGCTGCTCTTGGGTCAGCTGTAAAGAGTGACACTGTGGTTGTTTGTTTTTCCTCCTAACATTCCAGTGTTTTGATGCTGCTATCCATGATTATGGATGGTGTTTAAGCTCTTTTGTGCAAAGCCAAACCGAAATTCTTCAAAATGAATGAAGTCACAGAATGAATGAAGTCTGAGTAGATGCCTGAGCTCCACTGCCCCGCTCTGTTAACGTGCACTCCATTTCCCAAGAGGCGGAGGTTGGGGGAGTGGGGACGGAGGGGGGGGGGAGTGAGGGGGTGGGGAGAGACAAGCGGTCAGCGTTTAGATGGTCACGCAGGTGCCAGCTGCGGTCTCGGGGCTCGTGGACCTTTTGGTAACGCTTTTTCCAGATTAGCATCCAGGTTCCTGTGGTGCAGTTTCCCCTCTCGCCCCAAGCACAGAAAGTTGTGGGCCTGCTGGCGGGATTTTATGCGCTGTTCCCCACCGGGCGGTCCCAGAGAGGGAAAGCCATCTATCTGCTCGGGCCTCAGCTGCGGGGTCCTGAGCTGCGAAGGTGCGGGGGCCGCGGGGAGAACCCACATTGCGGAGGCCAGAGGCGTTTCAAAAAAAAAAAAAAAAAAAAAAGCAACAAGGAGGATTTAAAAACTGCAAAGGAGAGGCTCTGATGACCTCCTCCCCTCGCCCGCCAGCTCGGCATCTGCAACGCTTCGGGGTCTCCAGGGTCACCCAGCCCAGTCAGCCCTCTCCGCGCCCCGCCCACCCTCTCCATCACCCCGCCCCCCTCTCCCGGGTCCCCCTCCAGCCGGCCTCTCCCGGCCCTTCCCAGCCCGCTGCTCCTTTCCCTTTCCTCGCCCCTCCCCTCTTCCCGCTCTCCCTCCAGCCCACCCGGCCTCGGTGCTCAGATTTGCGCTCCGGCTGCAATCTCCGCCTCCACCTCCTCTCCGGGGCGGCGCCGGGGGAGGGGGGGGCCGCGCGCAGGCGCACTGGGCGGCGCGGCGGGCGGGGCTCCGCGCAGGCGCGCGCGGCGCGGGCTCGGCTCGGCCGGCAGAGCCGCCCGGCGTGTGGGGCGCGCGCGGTCCGGGCTGGGTGCCCGGCGGCGGCGGCGGCGGCGGCGTGGGCACCGGCACCATGTTCCTGCCCTCCGTCAGCCTGAGGAGCTTGGCGTTTTACGCCTTCATGGTGCTCATGGCCAGCCTGGGGCTGTGGGACGTCTTCTTCGGCTTCGAGGAGAACAAGTGCAGCATGAGCTACATGTTCGAGTACCCGGAGTTCCAGGTGAGGCGCCGCCCGCGCCCTGCGCCTCCCGCCCGGCCCGGGCTCCGCGCGCCTCTCCCATCCCGCTCACCCCCCACCTGGCCGCGGTCTCCTCCGTCCCGGAAGGCTGCGGGGACCCCCTCACTCCCCTCACCTGCCCTTTGTGCCCTTCCTCCACGATGGGGTTGTTTTCCCAGGTGGTTCTCCGAGCATCCTCGCTGTCCCGTTCGAACTGTCCCTCTGCCCCCCTGCCCTCTCCCGGACCCCTGCCGTGCGCAGGCTTTCCCGGCGAGATCAGCCCCCCTCCCCACACCCGAACCCCGGCCAACCCCGGCTCCCCGTGTTCCCGCCCGACAGGTGCGCCCGCATTCCACGCGCCCGCTCCCGTCCCCTCGCCCGCCCGCCCGCCCCGGGGTGTGCGTGGCAGCTGGCGCTTGTCGGGAAGGGGCCGCGCTCCTGCAGGGTGGGTCGTGGCTGCAGAGTTCCCAGGGCCGCCCGGGGGACCCCCTGCCCCCCCCCCCCCGGGTCCACCTCCGGGTGCAGGGCTCCCCGATGAGCAGTTGCATGGAAAGCCAGCGCGGTTCCCGCCTGCACAGGGCTGTGCGTGTGCATGCACGCCTGCGTTTATGCGGGTCGCCTGGTACCGGTGGCATTCAAAATCTCTTTTTTTGTTTTTTCCCCCCTCTCTCACCGTATTTGCTATTTAAGATAAATTGGCCCTTCTCTCCCTCCCCCTCCGCCCCCAGCTCCTCCGTTCCATTTTGAACATTATCTGTCTCCATCGCTTAGGAGTTCAGCCTAGGAGACTCGAGAATTTCCTTCGTGACCAGCTGTAAGAAGAGGCTGTGGCTAATGACAAAACTGCCCCAAGACATCCTCTCCTTCCCCCATCCCCCCTAATGCTTTTATTTCTAAACGCATCTCATTAAGGAATACATAATAGCCTCCCACCCTAGGATGTGTATATACTATATATAATACATATTGACAAAATGCCTTGGATGTGTATATTACTATATATAATACATATTGACAAAATGCCTTTTAAAATCATAGCAGATTTTTTTTTTTTTCCTTTAAGGTGAAGTATGCCAGTCTGGTTGCTTCTGGGTGCAGATCATTATGGGGGAGATAGTTGATTATGCTGCTGCTATTATTCAGACGTGAACGCTGCTTAAGGTTTAAGTTGCTGGTGAGCTTCCTTTCCCATGGGCAAAATTCTAGTTCAGATTGTGTTTGTTTTGAGATTCTTACCTCCTTCCTTTTGCATCCATGCTTCTAAGGGGGTGTGATATCAGATGCTACTGAAGGAGATTAGAACGTTACTGTTGTCTCTTAATTTCTAAGCCAATATGCTGATTGGTTTTTTGTTGTTGTTGTTGTTGTTGTTTTATTAGAGTCTATATATACCGTGTTTCCCCGAAAATAAGACATCCCCTGAAAATAAGACCTAGCGCAACTTTGGGAGAAAAAATTAATATAAGACACTGTCTTATTTTCGGGGAAACAGGGTAGTTAAGTAGTTGGGTTTCTAGCTTAGATTTTTTTTTAAAAGTGAAAATAGAGCCTGTGATTTTTATATGGTTTAGTAATTAGGAAACCCCCACTAGATGGGAAGTAGGTCAACTTAGGTTTGGACTGCATCGAAGACTTTGGCTAAAATACAATTATTGTGAAACAGTGTAGTGATTCCCTTTTATTTTTAGATTACAGAAGCTATTTTAATGTTTGCAGTAGTGGCAATTGCTTAGTGTTGGGAACAAAGCATATGGACCTCACAGATTGACTGGGAAGACGCGGAAAACTAGTGTGGCTGATGCAAAAGAGCTGTTTGGCTTTCTTTCTGTTATTGTGTCTGTATCTGCTTATTTTGATTCACATCGCCCCTTTGAGGCTTTACATTCTATTAATGATGTTAATTATAGTGGCAGGAGTTTGGGATCCACGTGTTTTATTTTCCTTGGTAGAGTTCTATTTTTGTTACGTAAAAAGCCTTGTTAATTCTCTACAGTGCTATTTATATTTGAACCTTAGTCCCTTTGTTGTGCACACCAGGTTGTGCTATTTCACAAATTCTGTAGAAATGACTCCTTTTGATTACAGTGAGATTTCTGGTGAACTGAGGCCATTCCATTAAAAGACGATGTTTTTTAATGAGTAAAAGTGTCCTAAACATATTTTATATGTTGCTTACTTTTCATTATGTTTTACAGCGAGCACTCTAATAGTTTACAAATTGCTATCCGTTCGATGAGATGTCTTATTGGTTGGTTTTCTTCTCTTCATGCCTTTCTTCTTCTTCTTCTTCTTCTTCTTCTTCTTCTTCTTCTTCTTCTTCTTCTTCTTCTTCTTCTTCCTCTTTTCTTCTTTTTACTACCTTTTGCATATTCTTGAGCAAATCGTTCATTGAATGACTGTGTCAGGTATATTCTATAGATACTGGGTATGGGTGAGAGGGAATTGCATGAATCAGACCTTGTGCCTTTAATTTATTCTTTATAACACAATGGGGGAATGGAAGAGATAGTTAAAATGTACTACATGTTATAATTCACTCTAAGAGCGTGTGAACAGAGCTCTTCAGAGGGGAGCACTCAGGTTCATCTTGGTAGTGGATTGGGCCATGGGAGGTACATAGTTCATAAGGCGCAGGAACAAGAAAATCATGGGAGAAAGAATAGCAGTTGTGATTAAAGAAGGCCCCAGGAGACACTGCATAAGCAGTATGTTTCGTATGTTATCATTTACATAAAAAGGAGAAAAGCCCACAAATGTGTTTTCTTGTATGTGCATGTGTAAAATATTTCTGGAAACACCAACTGCAAACATGAGTTGCTTTCATAGTAGGAAACGAAGGACCATGGGTATGAGAAAGAGCCTATTCAACGTATGTCCTATTGAATCTGGAATTTTGAAACATATTAAAAACAGATTTTAAAACCTGGCATTTCGCCCTAGCCAATTTGGCTCAGTGGATAGAGACTGAGGGGTCCTGGGTTTGATTCTGGTCAGGGGCATGTATCTTGGTTGCAGGTTCCCTGACTCTGGTGGGGCAGGGGCATGCAGGAGGCAACCAATCAATATGTCTCTTTCACATCAATGTTTCTCTCTGTCTCTCCCTCTCCCGCCCGATCTCTCTAAAAATCAATGGAAAAATATGCTCGAGAGAGGTTTAACAACAAACAAACCTGACATGTGTAAGTTATAAGAAACTAGAGACCTGATGCATGGAACTTGTGCAAGGGTAGGCCTTCCTTCCCCCGGCTGCTGGCTTCACAGCCCCAGCTGCCAGCTTCACGGGCTCCAGCTTCGTGGCCCTCCGCCTGCCTGCACCTACCTTGGCCTGGCGCTGCCTGTGTCTCCCTTCCACTCCCCCCCCCCCCGCCCCCACACACTTGATTGCCCTGCCAGCCAGTGGCCTGGGCCTCCCTCTGCAGGGCCATTGTGAAGTGGTGGCGAGGGACCCCAGACCAATTGCATCGCACCTGCTTTGGCTGGGCTGGTGCGTGTCAGAGCATGGTCGTCCAGACCGTCATTCTGCTGTTCAGCCGTTCGGTCGATTTGCATATTATGCTTTTATTATTATAGATTAGGTAAGAATAGTGAGAACCAGGTTTTAATGGCCTCTCTCTTAAGCCTTTACCCACTCTTGATGCAGTGAAGAAACACACAGGTCTTAACAGGGTATTTCCTCGACAGCAGTTTGTTTTAACAAGGTATTTCCTTGACAGCAGTTTGGACTGTGGAGCGTAGCAGGGAGACTGTGAGGGAGAGTCACCTGAGAGAGTGGCTGTCATTGTTATCAGCACGAGTCCTCTGAGGCACTCTCACCAGTGAGGGGGCAAAGGGCTGAGGGCTAGCTCTTGGGAGAGCTTAACATCTGCATTCGTCTTGATCAAAATCATTTTTTTTTTCTTTTTGGTTAACCGGAACCTTTTTTATTTTGCAGATTGATTGATTGATTGATTGATTTTAATTTTCTGATTTTTAAAAAAATATTTTATTGTTTTTTTACAGAGAGAAAGAGAGAGGGATAGAAAGTTAGAAACATCGATGAGAGAGAATCATCGATCAGCTGCCTCTTGCACACCCCCTACTGGGGATGTGCCCACAACCAAGGTACATGCCCTTGACCAGAATCGAATCCGGGACCTTTCAGTCCGCAGGCCGACACTCTATCCACTGAGCCAAACCGGTTTCGGCTTATTTTGCAGTTTTAAATCACACTTAAAAGAGCTACAGCCTGACCTAAGGGGGTCTGAAGGGTGCGGGAAGAGATTGGACAAAAATCTTACACCTATGGATGAAGACAGTGTAGGGGGGTAAGGGCATGGGGTGGGGTGGGGTGGGGAATCAGGTGGAGGGGAACATTGGGGGGGGGGGGGAAGGAACACCTGTAATAATCTGAACAATAAATATTTATTATACATTAAAAAAAAGACTTTAGTTCTTAAATCAGTACTTCTCTAGCCCTGGGATATTTTGTCTTTGGGAAGGGGTCTGATTAGAGATAAGAACCTGTACTAAGGCAGAGTGGACAGAAGATGGAAGCAGGGCAGCAATGTGGAGATGCTATTCACACGTAAAAGTAATTGATCTTAATTAGAGGCCTTTTTGAGAGAGGTGTGCTCATTGAATATACGCTGTATAAAACAATCAGTTTAAGATAGATTGGAGTCCTGTTGCTATACGTGTTTTCTTCTCAAATCCCTCTTCTGTTTTGTTTTGTCACCATCCTTTGTGTCTGCCTGTTCCTTTTCTGTCCTCAATCTGGTCAGTACCCTTCCCATTTTTTTCTTGCCCCTTACTCCCAACTTGAACTCTGTCTGAAAATCTAGTTTTGTCATCTGCCTACAAATCAGACTCCTTTTTTGTTCTATCTCCTTTTTTCAATTTCTTCTTTTTGCTACTCCATATTGTATGCATTCATATTTATTTATTATTTTTTAATTTTATTTTATTGATTTTTTACAGAGAGGAAGAGAAAGGGATAGAGAGTTAGAAACATCGATGAGAGAGAATCACGATCAGCTGCCTCTTGCACACCCACTACTAGGGATGTGCCTGCAACCAAGGTACATACCCTTGACCGCAATCAAACCTGGGACCGCTCTATCCACTGAGCCAAACCGGTTTTGGCGTATATATAAAGCAAATAGTGGGGTTTGTACTTCTCTATTTTGAATATGCAGGAAGATAAAAATTTGTTAGTATCTTACCCAATAAGCTCACACTCTCTAATGATGTTTTCATGATGTTATTGGCACAGGTGGTGTATGTTATTCAGGGAGTGTGTGTGTGTGTGTGTAATCAGAATTCTGGTTTTTTGTTTTTTTCAGCAGTGAAGTTTTCCAGCAGCCATTATCATTTACAGTTTCAAAAATCCATTCAGTAGTTCAAGTTTGTATCAAGTATATGTGTACCATTGCTAGGTCATTATTATCTATTGATGTCACTTAAAATCTAGTGTTCAAAGTAACAGGTTTCATTTCTAGTGGTTTCTTTCCTTGAAAAAAGGAGCAGAAGAAGAGTTGACACTTTACTACCACTTTTATAGGTGCCTAGCTTTGGGGGCGATATTAAGACCTCATTTACAATTTGTGGAAAAACATTTTTATGTGAATTACTGGCCCATTTGGTATGCGAGCACATGAACTGCAGAGCAGGTTAGCGCTTGCTGACGACCCATGTACCTGGTTTGCGAAAACCGAAACCGGAGCTAATTCATTGGAATGTTTATGGCTCGAGGCATGTGCGTGTTTTGACCAAAACGCGGCTGTGAGGTTCAGATTAATTTGTTAAGCGCATTGATCAAAGCATATGAAGTGGAGAGGTCAGGACGCTGCGCTATAAAACACACTTGCTTTCGGTGGAATGCTGTAACGCTAGAATATGTAGTTTGGGCCTGAGGAAAAGGAGAGACGTTACAGAACAGTTTAAAATAGCGAAAGAGAATTGATTTGGTAATGGGAAACTTTCATCTTTTCTAAGTTTAAGAACAATGGATACTGACACTAAATTAAATGCGTTTTTCAATTATGGTAACCTATAACTTGCTGACATCTGCCTGTGTTTTCCTGTCGTCCGTGGCTATTTTGAGTAATTTATATTTATTAGAATTTAAGGTAGTCCTAGTTTGTGATTTCCTGCAGGCCACGTGGTTCAGAGCTCACATAGTTCAAGGCTAATTCTCCACGTGAATGAACTAAAGTCTGTCGTGTGCATTCAGTTTAGTTTTATCATCAGTAATGTTTTTATATTGCACTGTTTGTGAAATTCAGAATCGGTATGATGTGGCTGAATTGTAGTAATAAAGTTGGTTTTAAAGTAAAACTGCTTATTTATTTATTTATTTATTTATTTATTTATTTATTTTTGCTGTAGAAAATACAACTTCCAAAGAAAGTGGCAAAGCGCTATCCTTCCTATGAACTGTATCTTTACGGAGAAGGATCCTACGCGGAGGAACACAAGATCCTCCCTCTAACGGGTATCCCCGTTCTCTTCCTCCCTGGGAATGCTGGGAGTTATAAGCAGGGTAAGTCTCAGAAGTAAATTTTGAAGGCTATACCATGCAATGGAAGAGTGTAACAAATACGTACTCTGTTCAGTCCTGTGCTGGGCGTACTGGACACACAAACATATGGCATTTTGTCTAGAAAAATAATGTGAGAAATACAGAGAAAAGAATGTTGATGACCTCTTTGTAAAACATAAGAAGGAGAAAAAAGAAGGTGGAATGGGTGGGATACATAGAAGATACCAGGATTCAGGAATTAGCAGAAGAAAGAAGCTTGTATTGGGAATGGAGGTGCAGAGCACAGAACCTGCGGCGTTGAGTAGCGAAGTGAATCAGTGTTTTCCGTGATGCTGAAAAAGAGAGGAGACGGGTTTCATTCTTTCAGAGCTTTCAGTTAGAGCTCTGGCTTCCGGTCAGCTTGGCAGAGGAGGTAAATGATGTGCTTGCCTCCTCTCTTGACCACATCAAAGCCACAGCTAAATTGTAGAACCACCACCCTTGAGAGCCACCTGAAGGCTAGCTGAACAGAACTCCTCTAACTAAAGATGTAAAGAAGAAGCCACATTGAGATGGTAGGTAGAAGGGGCAGAGATTCAAAATGTGGCTGGTCCCACATCCATGTGTGGCAGTTAAGAATTAGGGACGCTGTCTCTGCTGCAGATGCCCCCCCTGAGCTGGAACAAGGGGTCCCAGCCCCGCTCCAGGCTCCCCAGCCTGGAGCACCAGTGCCATAGAGAGGAGCCCCGCAGCCCCTCGCTGTGAAAATCATCAGGGACTCGGTTCCGGGAAGACAGAAGGCTGCTGTAGACTCAGGCGTCCTCTTCAAGGGCCTGAGCACAGTTTCACTCACAAACACTCGCTTAAAACTCCGCAGAAGAGGCAGCAGCTCGAAAAAACACCAGAACCGTTATAATAGTGCAGAAAACCTCGCTTACTGTGCCCTTTCCCCCTTTCCTGCGCAGTGCGGTCCATGGGCTCCATTGCGCTGAGGAAAGCCGAAGACATTGACTTCAAGTACCACTTTGACTTCTTTAGCGTGAACTTCAACGAAGAACTGGTGGCCCTGTACGGGGGAAGCCTCCAGAAGCAGACCAAGTTCGTGCATGAGTGCATCAAAGCCATTCTCCAACTCTATAAGGTAAGAGAGAAGCTCGCCAGTCAGGCGTGACCAGCCTGCCAGCAACTTTCCTTTTCAAAGTCACCCGGCATAGTTAAAGTCATTTGTTTATAGTTACTGGTGGTTTTGAATTCGTTGGTGGGTTTTGAATTTGTTGGTGGTTTGTAAAGTTTAAATTGAATTTAACAAGAAGCCTTTCATGTGAACTGAGGGGGGTGGGGAGGAAACTCTTTTAACTATTATAAGTGAGGTGTGCAGAGTATTTCCAAAAACCCTTAGCGTGAATTTCTGTTTCTAGTTATGACTGTATCGCTAGTACTAGGAAGACCATTTCCATAGGTAACAACTATACAACTAGTCAAGATATCTGACATACGTGTTTTCAGGTGTTGGACAACCACAGGCAGAAAAGGGCTGTGATTTCTGAAAGAGAGGTACCGTGTGATGTGAGCTCCATGACCGCTCTGGCTTTCCGCCTGGAAGCATTTTCTGGGTTGCAGGGCAAGCAGGTGGAGACCAAGCCGGCACATGGTGTCGCCGAGCCAAAGAAGGCAGAGGCTGGAGTTTGGGACTCCTGAAAAATTGGCGAGATTTCTGGCCAGCAATGTGGGAAAGAAGAAACTTAGGCAGAGGCAGGCGCTCTTGAAGTTTGCCTTTTTCGGTCTCTGAATGCTACGCTGTGTATGCACAGGTCAAGAAGTAGTACCAGGCAGCGGCCTGGCAGGGAGGGAGCAATGGGGTGTGTCCTCCTAAGGTGCAGCTTAACAGAGCAGTAAAACAGGCTGACAGTCACTCTGTGCCAGCAGCTCTGAACAGTGTCAGAGGTAAAGCACGACTGACTGCCTACCTGAGAGAGCCACTTCTTCCCTGGCTGTGCCCCAGTTCAAGTCCTGGCAGGAAACAGCTGCTGGGGAATCGTGAGCTGAATTAGGGTTGCAGAGGCCACCTCGTGTGGGAATAGGAGTTCTGACCGGCTGGAGCAGAGAGGCCTATTGACCCCATTGGACATTCAGGTGACCCGGGAAGGACATGCTGAGGATGTTGTCTCTCAGAGCAGCTCAACAGCGAGACACCGCTCCAGAGTTTTATTGAGGGCTGGTTATATAGACACCTTCTGCCCACCCTGTACCATAACCCCAACCAGAGGACAGGAGTGATCCACATAAAGGATACTGTTTGCACAGTTTTGGCATGGTGAGCTCTTTTTATCATTTAGGGAATGACGGAAACCCTAAAGATTGCAGAGCAGAGCCAAACGTAATGCAGTCCATTCTAAGGATAGCACTGTCAGGCCTATTGTGTTAACCATTTTCTGATTAGGGCCCATTTATCCAAACGAACAGGAGAGAAGGCTCAGATGAAGGATCGGTATGGAGGACGATGAGCAGAAGTTTGGTCGTAGAACTGAGGATACTGTGTGGAGTCAGAAGAAGTTTTTTAAAATGCAACTAGAGGCCTGGTGCACGAAATTCATGCACTGGGTGGGGGTGATGTTCCTGAGCCCGGCCTGCATCCTCTTGCAATCTGGGACCCCTTGGGGGATGTTGGGCTTAAATCAGCAATCAGACATTCCTCTTGCAATTTGGATGCTGCATGCACCAGTGAGCATACTTTCCATACAGGTGAAAGGCATCTTGCTGTTGTATGGGCAGTTACATTGTTTTGCCCTGATTATAAAAAGAAGTACATAACATGATCCTTCTGAGGCAGATGTACCATTTCTCCATCTTATGGGGGGAAACACTGAAGCAGAGAGAAGTAAATGGTTTTGTCACACAGTTGTAAGTATCAGAATCAAGGCTGACCACAAAATGTGCAAGCCAGAGTCCATGCATGTCATCACTGCATCATCCTCTTTTTTCAGTGTTAGAATAGCCTTGCCAGGTTTTAATTTTTAAATCTAAGAGACTGTTCCCAATATACAGGGTAGGGTCGTAGGCCTGGCCGGCGATGAAGACCATCTGTGGGGCAACCAATGGGCTGGGCGATCGGGGACAGGGGGTCAGGAGGGACTCCCACTGGCACCTGCTTTGGCTGGCAGCCTAGTGCCACCCACTGGCTGGCCCTGCTCCCTCCACCACCGGTCGCCTCCCTCTTGGTCAGTTCATGTCTTAGTGACCGGTCATTCTGCTGGTCATTCCACCATTTGGTAAATTTGCATATTAGCGTTTTATTATATATTATAAGGCTACTTATTTAAGAAATGAAATATGTCAGTGAATAAATGTTATGGAACATTGGTTTATTTTAAACCCAGGTGCATAATGGGGAAATTATTTGATGAGATGTGTCATTATGATGCAGTAGTATATTGCTATAGCAACCATAATTTTTCTAACTTTTCTGTGTTATTTCCAATTTTTAATAAATGACCCTATAAAATCTAATATTCTGGTATACACCAAATATAATTACAACTTGTACAGCCAATATAACAAATAGTGAAACATGATTTGCTAGACACAAGTTTTCTGATTTTGGTTCAGAAATTCAAAGCATAGCTGTTAAAAATGTTTGACAGCCCTGACCAGTTTGGCTCAGTGGATAGAGCATCAGCCTGTAGACTGAAAGGTCCCTGGTTTGATTTCGGTCAAGGTATGTACCTTGGTTGCGGGCACATCCCCAGTAGGAGGTGTGCAGAAGGCAGCTGATCGATATTTCTCTTCATCAATGTTTTTAACTCTCTATCCCTCTCCCTTCCACTCTGTGAAAAATCAATTTTAAAAAGATGTTTGGCAGAACACAAAATAGTATGTACACACTAATTATAAGTATATGGAAATGTGTTTCTGTATCTTATGATAGGAGGTTAGATAGTTTATCTATCAATATGTATATAAAAGCCTAAGCGACCTTTCGACTGTTCAACCAGTAGCTATGATGCACACTGACCACCAGGGGGCAGATGCTCAACACAAAGGCATGGAAACATGGAATAGACTGATGAATCTCAGAGAAAGAGGGAAGTCAGGAAGAGATTAACCATAGATCTCATGTGCATACTAGAGGCATGGTGCATGGAATCTTGCATCAGTGGGGTCCCTCAGCCTGACCAGTGGGGTCCGTCAGCCTGGCCTGCGGGGACCAAGCCAAAACTGGCAACCCGACATCCCTCGAGGAGTCCCAGATTGCGAGAGGGTGCAGGCCAGGCTGAGGGACCCCACCTGTGCACGAATCCATGCACCAGGCCGCTAGTTTTTTCTATAAAATTGCTCATACTTAGAAGTATTTAGTCTTGTCTTTATGATACTGTTAGTTATGTGTTGGTGATTTTCTTTTTTTTAATAGGGTCAAGAATTTGCTCCAAAAAGTGTGGCGATAATTGGTCATTCTATGGGTGGCCTTGTTGCCAGGGCACTGCTTACACTGAAAAATTTTAAACAAGATCTGCTGAATCTCCTTATTACACAGGCCACCCCGCATGTGGCTCCCGTGATGCCCTTAGACCGGTTCATCACAGGTGAGTGCGGTTACGTAAACACTGACTGGCCTCCCAGGGTCGTTTACATGAACACGAATCTGTGCAACTGCTCCCTTTAGAGTGTACTTCTGGTGCGTCCCTGTGGACATCCTTCCGGACAAAGCCAGAGCTCGAGGGCTGAGGCAGCCACCGTGGCTATGAGAGTCGATGCAAGCTGCATGAACTCCATGCATAGGTCTCTAGTAGCATATAAGAGTTAGGAGCACAGGGCCAGGAACAAGTTTACCAGGGTCCAGTACCAGCTCCACTGTTGCAGATCACCTCTACCTCTTGGTCAGATATTTGTTGACTTTCCGCTTTGGCTCATCGTTGAAACTGCTGTGAGTTTTTCTGTCGATGGCACCTTAACGTGATGGCAGGTCTGGCTGTCCCTAGGGCACGTAGGCTTCCGCTCAGTTATTCTTTAAAGATGACTCCCTGGCTCTTAAAGTTTGTTTAAACTTCTGTGTTTTGTTAAGTTGCCAGGATTCTATTCAAAATAAGCTTATTTTTAAGTAAAATACTAGGAATGTCTTGTTTTTCCACAAAGAGTTCTGCTAACACTGCATGCAGTGAGGTAGAATTGTTAATACTTATTGAGCTCTTACTCTGGCTTGGGTATTGTGTGAAAGACTCAACCTGAAGTGTTATTTTGTCACTTAATTCTCATAGTCCTTTGAGGTAGGACCGTTGTTATCCCCATGTTTATGGATAGAAAAAAAAAAAAGTCCAAGATAATGTTTTTGCCTAAAGTTACGTGGCAAGAAAATAGTGGAGCTGGTACTCGACCCTGGTAAACTTGTTCCTGGCCCTGTGCTCTTAACGCTTATATGCTACTAGAGGCCTGATGCACCGAGTTCATGTGGCTTGCCTTAACCCTCAGCTCTCGAGCTCCGGCTTCATCTGGAAGGATGTCCGGAAGGTTATTCAGCTGTCTGGTCTAATTATCATTTTATGCTTTTATTATACAAGATACTGCTTCTTAATTTAGATACCCTGCTCTAATAGAAGAAATAAAATTATGAATAATGCTATAATGTTGCAGGGGAATTTTAAATGAATAGTATGAGTTTATGATTGCTGTAATATAATCAAATAGTGTCCAGAATAAGAATTAAATGCCTTTCTCACCTTTTATTAAAGTCAGATAGTATCTTCACTGCTTGTTGCAATTTATGCGAATAGAAGGAAATCTTTAGAAAGAAATAATTCTTTTCCCAATCAGTAAATTTACTTCTTACCCTATAAAAATTTGCATTATCTTAATTGTGGTAAAACTTTTATCTATAGCTCAGATGGCTTAGAAGTTCTGTTTAATATTAACATTAAAAACATATATAACAGCATATATTTTTGCAGGGAATGGCCACTAATTTTTAATGTGTCTTTTTTCCTACCAGATTTTTATATGACTGTAAACAACTATTGGATTCTAAATGCTAGACACATAAATTTAACCACGCTTTCTGTAGCTGGAGGATTCCGGGATTACCAAGTTCGTTCCGGACTGACTTTTCTACCAAAGCTAAGCCATCACACCAGTGCCTTATCTGTTGTGGTAATCTTTTTTAAAGACTCTACTGACACAGTAGCATGGTGAACGCTGTGGGGCATGAATGGAGAAGTGACATGTTGACACTTGGAAATGACTGCTGGGTTGGCATAGTGCTGCCGTTGTGCTCGTGTGTGTGTGTGTGTGTGTGTGTGTGTGTGTGTGTGTGTGTACACACATGCGTGAGATGAGGGGAGAGAGAGTAGGAGAGAGGGACAGGCAGAGAAGATGAATATGACATGTTGGGAAGGCAGAGGTATGGATGCTTGTGTCCATAGAAACTAAGAACTACCTTAGACACTTTATGAAAAGAACTCTTGTTTATGAGAAATAATTGCATCTTGTTCAAAATGCAAGAGCCCACCCATGGATTAGAGTTGTAAGTTTAAGAAGGTGTGAACTGATGTCCCAATACCTCTGTTATATGGGCGATATTCTGTCTGCTGGTGGGAGTGGGGTAGTGAACATACCACATGCTCTGGTTGCTGAGCTTGGACAAAGTTTTACCCATTCTAAAAATCAAAAACTTAGCTTTGGAGTATCGACAGAACCCTGATTAATTGGTTTGCTGGTTATTCTCCCCTGCTAGGACATCGAGTACGTGGTCTGTAACTGGGACACGTAGCCTCGGTGAGTGAGTTCAAGTTTCCTTTTAGAACTTACTTCTTGTATTTTTAACCTTGAAGTCTTCAGTTAAGATCTTGACATTTTAAACTCAGTGTACCACCTTCAACTAGACCTTAGTTCCTATAAACATCCTCAATTCCTTCTGCTTTGTAGGAACTGGTGCTTTGTTTCCTGGCCGTTCCCTTGGGAGATCCCCTTTGCTCTGCTCCTCCCGCTCTGCCTTAGGTTGCTGTGAGTTCAGGAAGCAGGATTCACTGTGTGCCTCCTGTACCTAGAACAGGAATCACTAAGCTCATCTGCTCTCACCCACCATTGTCTTATAATTGGAGTTGTGGTTTAGCCATAGTAGCTTTGGAATAAAATCGGTAAATCTCTCAGACCTCATTATTGGTATGAATCTTATCTCGAGGTTGAATGTTTTGGGCAGATATTTGCTGGAATCCCTCAAAACATTAAATGTTGCCGAGGCCGGTTTGGCTCAGTGGTAGAGCGTCGGTCTGCGGACTGAAAGGTCCCAGGTTCGATTCCGGTCAAGGGGATGTGCCTTGGTTGCGGGCACCTCCCCTGTAGGGGGTGTGCAAGAACCAATTGGTCGATGTTTCTCTCTCATCGATGTTTCTGGCTCTCTATCTCTCTCCCTTCCTCTCTGTAAAAAAACAATAAAATATATATTTTTTAAAAACAAAAACAAAAAACATTAAATGTCAACTCTCTAAAACACGGATGTAGTCGTCAGTCATACCATGTAGCTTATTTCCTGAGCGTGGTCTGGCCCATGTGTTGATACAACATCCTGCAGCTTGTTTTTGTAAAGGACTTTGGTCTTTTCATCTGTGTATATGTGGGTGTGTGTGTGGGTGTGGGTGTGTGTGTGTGTGTGTGGGTGGGTGTTTCCCGTTCTCTAACCCATTTGATAATGTATTGTTTTCAAGGCAGCTTGTATTTCCGATGAAAATATGTTACCTTTTAGGGAGTTTTCTCAAAGCTGGTTATTTTATTATTTGAGTTCGCTTTAGTTTTTTAGCTCCCAAATAGTCTAGGGTTTTTTTGTATGTGTGTTTTTGTTTGTTTGTTTGTTTGTTTGTTTGAAGCATTACAAATAGTAGTATATATGCCTCCTTTTTTTCTCCCTTGACCTCCCCCAACATATGCCTTCAGCTGCCCCCCCTTCAGTCTAGGGTTTTTAAGTATGTTTACTTAGAAAACAATTACGAAGATGTAACTGTGTTTTAATGATCTTAAGAACAGTTTAAGTGTCATTTACATCCAGTGGGGGCTAGAAAAACGACTAAAGTTTGAGAGCTTCAGAATCAGTAACACCTAGGCTGAGGGACCTAGGCTGACAGTAGGCATGCCTGCCCGAAGGTTTTACTTTTGAGGCTGCTCTCATCGTCACTATTTCCACCCACAAGAAGGGAGAAGAAGAGCAGTCAGGCCTGAACATGGCACACATCACTTCTGTTTACATACTATTAGAGGAAAATTATTTATTACACCTTAAAGTGAGAGAGGCCAGCGGTGTATCTGTGTGAGAAAGCAGGAACGGATTTGGGTAGACGTTCAGAAGTTTTCAACAAGATCATGGTTTGTGTTGCCTTTCCCTTTTTCAGCTCCAGCACTGATGCGAGCCCGTTTTATGTTCTTGGTAGTGCTAAGTGCTGTCTACTCTGAGTTCTTACTCTACTGAGCACCTGGCATCATCTTAGAACTACAGTGAACTCTGGTTGTCGGAACTTATTAGTAAGCTGCCTGCAGGAGTTCCTGAATAAGATAGATACCTAATGCTTTATTAGGCTCAACAAGTAAGCTGTAGGCTCCTCCCTCTTCAGAGCCTGACTGAAGGGTGTGATGGCGTTGTCAGAAAGCCTTCTGCAAATAGTACATTTTTAGGAGCCTTTGTCCTTGTGTCTCTAATTAGTAAAAATTCAGCCGAGTGAATTTTTCAGTGTAAGTAAGCTGGGACCCCCTTAAGAAAGTCTGATTTGGTAATTTTGGTACTGTGATCTCAGACATGCCTTTTGGGAAATCTCTCAGGCTTAAGCATTTCTCAGGCACACTCTGATTAAAAAATAACATCTTAGACTAAAAAATAACATCTTAGACTTTACCAAGTGGTAATCTAGTCAGAACTAAAATATTTTTGTAATTTACCTATAAACTAGGATTTTTAAAGAATTATAAACTCAGCCTCTTGTTAGCCTCTTTTTTTTTTTTTTTTTTTTTTTTAGCCTCTTGTTAAAGAAGAGTTAGGCATTAAACTCAGAAAGGAATCTGGGTGCTTTAATAATTTTTAAAGAATAATGTAAGTGTGACTAAGCAGTAATGACAGAGAATTGTTTTATGCAGGAAATACCTTCATATTTTTGGATCATCTTTTACAAAGAAGGCATCATTTTAAAAAGTCTATGCATCATAACATAGTGAAACTAATGCTTCATATTTCTAAATATTAGCTTGTAAGAATCTCAGGCCTTTGGGAGAATAACGAATGTTCTTTTCTTAAGTTTGATTTTTTATTTGTTTCTTTCATTTCAGAGCTCAGCAGTGCCTAAGACCTGGGTCTCCACAGACCACCTCTCCATTGTGTGGTATGTCAGTGTAACTACTCTGTTGGCTTATGGTGGTTCTCTTTTCTCAATGGTGCATTGATTAGTTTTTTAATATTCTTAGAACTTTGTTCATAAACTAGAGGACCAGTGCACGAAATTTGTGCAAGAGTAGGCCTTCCTTCCCCTGGCAGCTGGCTCTGGCTTTCCTCTGGCACCCAGGACCCAGGCTTCCCTCCAGCCACTGACGGGCTCCCTGGACCCAGGCTTCCCTCCAGCCACTGACAGGCACCCCGGACCCAGGCTTCCCTTCGGCTGTTGGCAGCCACCCAGGACCTAAGCTTCCCTCGCAGCCCCAGCTTTGTCTGGAAGGCCATTTAGAAGGACGTATGGTCTAATTAGTATATTATGCTTTTATTATTATATTGTAGATAGGTTTTTGAGAGGTCAATTTAGGGGCTTAGAACTCTAAACTTGGTTCTTGTCTCAGTGTGACCAGGGTTTCCTTGACAATCTAGGCCATCATCTCAGAACCAGTAACATCAGTCTCAAATGAAGCTCGAGTCAAATATCAAAGTTTTAGTTTGTCATATTTGGGCAGAATCAAAGGCACTTGTAGGACATGGGAGCACTCGGCCAGTCACCAAACTCGGGGACTTGATGGATGCAGCATTAGTTATTCTAGAGTAGCATATGGAACACCAAGTAGGAATTAGATTTGCCCCTAACACAACAAAGAATGAGGTTAAATATAGGTCTAGAAATACCTAGACCAAGCATGTTAGACTCAAAGGCTAACACGGGCCAAATTAACAAGGTGTAAGTTTATGTGGGCCACAAAAAAACACACAAATGCTTCAATTTTCATAGAAAGATAAGTTTAGTTTGATAGAGACATGCTGAATACAAAGGGTTGAAATAAGTGAGTCATCGGTAACATAAAATAATAGAACATTTTAATAAAAATTAATATTTCTTCTTGAACATTAACTTACCAGACACTGAATAACTGCACAAATTAATAAGCGTAACACAAATAAACCTATTTTTCTTGGTCTCCAAAAGTGAAATATTTCCTGTTGTGCACACCAAACAAGTCAGTACAAGACTAATGAGGTGGCAATTGGCTACAAAAATATTCGCTGCTAGTATTAGTGGAGAGAAACAATGCGTCTGTGCATAAGGGAAATGAATGCAACATGATTATAGTAATCAGTCATTAGCAAACATTGTAGTTAGTTATTAATAATCTATAATAAAAAAGGCGTAATTTGCTAATTAGACCGGACATCCTTCTGGATGACCTTCTGGACGAAGCCGGGGCTGTGAGGGAAGCCTGGGTCTCAGGTGCCAGAGAGAAGCCAGTGCCAGTAGCCGGGGGAAGGAAGGCCTAGTCTTACACTAATTTCATGCATTGGACCTCTAGTTATGTATAACCAGATATTGTAAAAATCCTGTTAAAACATTTCTTACAAACCGTTACTGTGTTTTCTGGCGTATAAGATGACTTTTGAAACAAAAAAAAAAGTCAACTGAAAAAAAAAAAATAATAATCCGGGGGTCGTCTTATACACCGAGTATATCCCGAAAAATGTCTCAATATGCCGCTAAACGAATTTTCCAACTCGATTCCGCACCAATCACTGCAAGGCTGCTTGGACCGCCTCTCTAACTCAGCCAATCCAAGCAGGCTTTTTAGGCATGCAGATTATACATGTTCTGTACCCGAAGCTACACTGTGTTCTAGTAAAAAGCCTGCTCAGATTGGCAAGAGTCAGAGAGGCGGTCTATTATAACCTTTAAAAATAGAACTGGTGTTGCCTCGGAAGTGGGGGGTAGTCTTATACAGCGAATATAGGCCTAAACCTCTGTTTTAACTGTAAAATTAGGGGGCCGTCTTATACGCCGGAAAATACGGTATATTGGTTGGGCCGAAAAAATATTGGTCATGGGCCGTGTGTGAATTTGATATGCTTGACCTAGACCCTAGGATCTTATCTCTCTATGTTTGGGCTTAAAGATCCTCTTTTTCACCTTCCTCTGGCTCTGTGGTCAGTGGTGCCTGCAAGAGCCAGCCAGTGCAGGCATGGGAAGATGGACAGACAAGTATATGTAGGGGAGATAGAGGGACTCACACAGGTCTACTGTCAAACATCCAGGAAGATTCAATTTCCTTCATTTTTATACATTTCGACTTCAAGATATGTGATTGATGATAATGATTTCTTAAATAATTTTAGAGTTCACAGCATTAAAGGAACCACAGATATTTGATTAGATAATGGGATTATGTATGTGTTGTATCAAAAGTATATTTTTAAAGAATGTTTCCTTTGTAACACATTCTATTCTTTAGGTGTAAACAGTTGCAGTTGACTACAATTCGAGCATTCTTTGACCTGATTGATGCTGACACTAAGCAAGTAAGTATTCTTAAACTAACAATGATTTCAGTAAAGTGAGAATTGGTTGCAGCCGTGGTAGAATGTATACATTTTACACTTTGATGCAACTAAAAGCCTACACCTTATGATGACCTACAATGACTTTCAAAATGGAAATACCTCTATTTTTATCTGATAATACTTGGACCACTAATAATAATTAATAGAATGCCGTGAAGGAAAAGAGGGTGGGAGAGGTAGAAGTGGGTGAGGGGGATACATTGTGATGGAAGGAGACTTGACTTTAGGTGGTGAACACACAGTATAATATACAGAAGATGTATCATAGAATTGTACACTTGAAGCATATGTCCTCTTTAACCAATGCCCCCTCCCCAAGTAAATTAAATAAAAGTGTTTAAAAAAATGCAATGAAAATAAAAGATTCCTAACATCTTTCCCCAGTTCTTCTCCTTTAACTGTTTAAATTTTAATATATAGTCTTTTGATTTAATTAAGGGAAATACTTATTATTAGCTATTTTGTCATTTTTAGGAATGTATTATAGATCTCAAGATCTATCATATTAGACATTTTTGTTGAACTTTTTTTTGAAAAAGGATCTTTACCTTTCTGATGGGATCCAAAGATCTACAGTTGAATAAATCAAATCTTGTGTTCCATTAAATTCTAAGATGAGAAAACTCCAATGCTAGTGCGTAATAAATTTTAATTCTGTAAGGATAAGTATATTATAGAATCAAAATATTATGAAACTGAGTTCTGTTTCATAAAATCATTACATACAATGGACTGGACTGCACGTTAGACAGTAAGACGTTAGGATATGATTGCTAACCAGGAAGCATGTAATCTAGGAGGAAAAGCAGGCATACAGGGAAACTAGAACTCACGCCATAATTATTCCCAATCATGAGGTCCCCAGGACCAGAATTGGTGTCATTTTTTATGGTCATCAGCAGACACATCGAAGCTGAAAACATGAGTGGGTGGATCTTCTAGAGAGTGAATAAGGATGGGAGAGATGACTTAACTGAAATTTTGGTTGAAAGATCTGTGGCTTTAATTGATTGCAATCAAATGTGGCTGCTTTAAAAAAAATACATACACACAAATCAAAACTAATTTTGTATTAGGCTGAATTAATTGAAGTTTAGCATTTGCATCAGTGAAGTTAAATTTCACTTTCCTCTACTCGACAATACCGAATTATATTCTGTTTTGTACATCCTATTTTAAGTTGGGGGGGACGTTAACAAACTTGAGTTTATCCCGGGAAGGAAGGAAGGCGAAGTGGAGAGGGGTCTGAAGCCGTTCTGTGAAAAACACTTGATGCTTTTGAAGTTGTTCGATCTTCAAAAAATGAAAGAAATTTTTATTTAGGTGAGGGACATAACAGTCTTCAATTTTTTTAAGGACTGTCCCCCAACCTAATATATCCAAGCAACCAAGAGTCAGTACTTGCACTAAAGAGGGCAGGATATTCTCCTGGTAAGAACTGCTACAACTGGAATGTGATATTTGGGAAAGTACCGAGTTCGAAATATTAAAGCAAATATTGGGTGCCTCCTGAGGCATTGAACAGAGCTGGGCTCTCACCGTCCTCTCTCCATCATGCGGTCACTGTATGGTTGCTGAGAAAATCACTTCCCTGTCGGGGCCTCAGACCCTCGCTAGAGATCTGGCGAGCGGTAGATTCCAGAGGAATTTTATGCCCAGTACATTTTTATTTTTTTCAAGGGAGGTGCTGATACAAAGTGGCCGACATTTTGTTGTGCTGGGACATTTTAGAACAGCAGGAAAGTTCCTGTTGTCTGCTTGCATTTTCATTTCATGAGACGTATGATACTTTGACGCAGGGGAAGTCAGGAGAGCAGAGTGCAGGGGAGTTTCCAAGGAAGAACAGCTCTGTTTTCTCTAGTGGCCACTTGATTTCTGGGTGTGAGGTTGGCCCTGGTCTGCCCTGGGAAGCTAGGGGGTTGGAGACACCTGCCTGGAGGACCCCTGGCGTTCCCTTCTGGTTCTGTACGTGTTCATGTGCTTCATCCTCACCTGTTGATGGAGAGCACGATTGCATCATGGTGAAAGGCACGGGCTCTGGGGCGGACGGCCTGTGTGTGAGCGCTGGTCCCAGCTCTCGTTGGGAGCGTGACCGTGGGCAGGTTCCTATATTCCTCTGTGCTCTCACTTCCTCACATTTAAAACACAAGGGGAAAAGGAGAAACAATAATAATAATCTGAACAATAAAGATTTATTAATAAATAAGTAAAAATAAAACACAGATAAGGTGATCGTCCCACATGTTAAGCACTTAGAACAGGAAGTAAGTAACTGTTGGCTCTTAGCTTTGTTACTCGAAGCAAAGTTTCATTGAATTATCACCAGGATATGAAAGGGTACATACAGAATGTATCTATGTTCTCTCTAGATAACTCAAGATCCCAAGAAGAAATTGTCGGTTTTGAATCACCACTTTATAAGACACCCAGCAAAGCACTTTGAGGAAAAACCAGCAATAATTTCTGACTTAACAGGTTAGTGGTCTTAATATTTTTAAATTTAAGTAGAGTTATAATTATTATTTTTAGGTAAGTTTGTTATTAGCGGACAAAAATCTTTGAAACTGCGATACTTCAGGTACTGTAATCCTGTTGTATTTTACTAGAGGACCTGTGCACAAAATTCGTGCACGTGGGGGGAGGGGTGCCCCTCAGCCCAGGCTGCACCCTCTCCAATCTGGGATCCCGAAGTCAAACATCCCTCTCACAATCCAGAACTGCCGGCTCCCAACTGATTGCCTGCCTGCTTGCCTGATTGCCCCTAACTGCTTCTGCATGCCAGCCTGATCACCCCTTTGCATTTTCATTTCATGAAACGTATGACATTATGACGCAGGGGAAGTCAGTAGAGCAGAGTGCAAGGGAGTTTCCAAGGAAGAACAGCTCTGTTTTGAGCACTCCCCTGCCAGCCTGATTGCCCCTAAGTGCCCTCCCTTGCAGGCCTGGTCCCTCCCAACTTTCCTCCTCTGCTGGCCATCATGTGGTGGCCATCTTGTGTGTTGGAACGATGGTCAATTTGCATATTACCTCTTTATTATATAGGATTAATGTCTCTAAGATGGTTTCTTAAGAGGTTGTTGGTTAAGGAAGGGAAAAAGTAGAAAAGCAATTTATAAGATGTTGCTGATAAAAAAAATTTTTTGTCCTGAAAATAGCCTAACAAGTAGGAAACGTTTAAAGCTAAAGCTCAGTGTCTCTGGTTGCCTGACAATCGCATAAAATAAGTGCTCTGCTCAGTTTCTCAGTATCAGTCATTCTTCGACCACAGGCATATCTTTAGCTGGTAAATTCTGCTTTCATATGTAATACCTGACATACTGTACTTCATTATTTATCTTGTTTGGGAAATGAAGTATTGACTTTCTTCTCTCTCTCTTTTAAAAAAAAATATATATTTTATTGATTTTGTACAGAGAGGAAGGGAGAGAGATAGAGAGTTAGAGACATCGATGAGAGAGAGTCATCTATCAGCTGCCTCTTGCACACCCCCTACTGGGGATATGCCTGCAACCAAGGTACATGCTCTTAACCGGAATCAAACCCGGGGCCTTTCAGTCCCCAAGCCAACGCTCTATCCATTGAGCCAAACTGGTTTCGGCACTTTCTTCTCTTGAAACTTCCTTAGAGTTAGACACCAAGTTGATTTAAAGTGCTTTATTTGATATGAATGCTAGTTAGTAATGAGCACATAGAGACTATCTCACTAGGTTTTCTCATTTAAAATGTTCACTTTTCAGGAAACCACTTTTTCAAAAACTGCTGATTGAGAAATATTTCACCAGTATTTAATAAGATAAATTATTTAATATAAAAACCCAAGCTAAACAAGTAATTTCCTTCCCCTTAGTGACGCCGCTGTGGGTTCCGGTCAAAGTGTCCAAGTGGTCCTATGTGGCATACAATGTAAGTATACCACCCATGTGGCTTGTGAGCTGCGGTTGGCCCACCACGGATTTAGCGGGATGCAAAAATATGATACTCTAATTTGATTATTTCTTCTTCATTTATTAATTGGAGCACTATATAGAAAAACTCATCTAGTAAATTTATCAAAAAAAAAAAAAAAAAAGAAAGAAACAAATCGTAAAGGAAAAAATGTTAATTGCTTAGGCCTTTGGATCTTATATTTACTGGTTTTCAGCATGGTGAGTTGGTTCACAGACAGTAACTGAAAGAGGTTTTGGGTTTTTTTCCTCCCTCATATTTTATGAACTCATGTATTTAAGCATATATGTTTTTCTATTTAAACTAAAATATTAAAATTTTTCTGTCCTTGAGCAGTGTAGCCATTTCAAGTTAGGTTTCAGAATCTTCCATATAGCTGCTCTTTTGTTGCCGTTGATGGTTTTTTCACTGTCTATCTAGAATGAGAAGACATTGCAGTTCATTTTGTAAATTCCCTGCCCCAGACCTTGAATCAGCTTTTTTCTCTAAGGAAGTCTCCCAATATTTGGGAACTGGCACCCCAAATCCGTAATCAGGGCAGTAGCAATGCTTACGGCGGGTGGGTTAGCATTTCTAGGCTTTTCAGTGGACAGAGCTAAGAAAGGTATTTTAGCTTCATCATAAGGCCAAAACCAAGCCAAACCAGAACTCATACATTCATACTGATACTTTCAAGACAGATTTCAGGACTATGGGGTTTATATCTGATCTCTCCATCTTCCATCTGTTTCTTCTTCTTCCTACTCCTAGAATATTGGTCTTCAACACTACCAGGAATAATAGAATAATTACCACGTTAGCTGGAGTTTTGAAGGATGGAATTATTCATTTTTATGATCATTTTATTGTGTCTTTCCTCTTTTTTTTTTTTTCCAGGAATCTGATAATATATATTTTACATTTCCTCTTGCAAATCATAGAAAAATCTACTCTCATGCCTATTGTCAGAGCACCATGCTGGTAAGATGATTGGTACATTGTGTGTAAATTTAAAAGGCTAACTGCTGAATTTATCAAATTCAGCAAATATCTAGTGGATCTCTACCTTACCTATGCACTATTACTAAATCTAATTCGTTGTAAAATATTTGTCTGGAGAAGAGTTTTTTGATTGAAAAACATTCATCCAAATGTTTCTGTAGTTGATAATATACCGGGATCTCCTATATCACTGAGTCGGTAGATGCTGCACGTTGATATAGAATAAAGCCTTTAGACAAGGTGGTGTTACTTTTTAAGTTGATTTATTTGAATCAGAATCTGAAGTCCATACATTGCATTTGATTCGTGGATCTTAAGTCTCTTTTGTAACAGCCCCCTTTTCTTTCCATTTGTTTATTCAAGAAAGGCAATGTGCTCTATAAGTTCCCTACATTGTGGGTTTAGCTGGTTGTATTCTTGTTTCTTTTAACACGTATTTCTATCCCTCTTGTTGTCTGTAAACTGGGAGTTAGATATAGAATCTCGATTAGACTCCAATTAATTGTGTATGATAAAAACGTTTTATAAGTAGAACTGGGCACTCCCCTCATCAGGAGGCATATCTTGGCTGGCTGTCCCACTCCTAGTGACAGAAAGACGTATCAGGGTCTTAGGTGGTATCAGTATGATCTGTCCACTGGGACATTCCTTTTTTTTTTTTTTTTTTTTTTTTTTTTTAATATGTTTTATTGATTTTTTACAGAGCGGAAAGGAGAGAGATAGAGAGCTAGAAACGTCGATGAGAGAGAATCATCGACCAGTTGCCTCTTGCACACCCCCTACAGGGGATGTGCCCGCAACCAAGGTACATGCCCTTGACTGGAATCGAACCCGGGACCTTTCAGTCCGCAGACCGACGCTCTACCACTGAGCCAAACCGGTTTCGGCCACTGGGACATTCTTAAACAATCTCTCACCTAATGATTCTAGCAGCCACTGAGGGATGTAGACAGATTTTATTATTATCATTATTATTTTGTTGTTGTTAAAGAACTATGCATTTTATGATCTCATGGCATTTTCTTTTCTTTCTACTTCCTGGAGTTAGTCAGCAATTCTTGAGTGACTTTTTCTAAGATTATCAATACCGTTTTGTAATTAGTTAGGGATGTTTACGAGATGACCTGAAACTATTCTCTTGACACTTTCTAGGTTATATAAAAATGCTATTTTAGCATGGGCTTGGATATATTTATTCAATTCAGAATTCTCTACCCCCCTAGTGAAATGACTGGTGTGGGATATTGGCAATGTTCATAATGAAGGCTGTCTTTGAGGACATGCTCCCTTATTAGCTGCGAAAACCCAGGATCAAAGTGGGCTGGCTATGGAGAGGCATCTGTATGTTCTCTGTCTAGGCTGTGAAGCTCTGTTTGGCTGCCTTGCTTTAGAAGGGCACATTAGGGTTCTGAGAAGTGTGGGCAGCTGATATGGAAGTCACACGGGCATTTTGGCAGTAGTGGAGGGCAGAAATATACCATATTGTGTATTTTTTTAAAATATATTTTATTGATTTTTTACAGAGGAAAGGAGAAAGAGAGCTAGAAATGTCGATGAGAGAGAAACATCGACCAGCTGCCTCCTGCGTTTAGACATCATGGTGGAGGGTGGAATAGAGGAGTATTTGTCTCTGTCCTGCTGTGTAGAAGTTATGTGGTAGTCAAATAAGAACTCAAATGGTAAACTAAAGGCTATACTTAGATTAATTACTTGGCGCTGGATTTTTATTATTATTTTTGTATAAAGGTCCACGTCTAGTTGTTCATTTTCCTGTTTTTGTTAAAATATAGGAAGCTTACTATGTAACTACATAATTAAACAATGAACATTGCCGAAGTCAAGGTGTCGGTTCAGACATTAGAAATGCTTGCCTAGGCCCATGAGACTCAGTTGGTTGAGCATCATCCCGTGCACCAAAAGGTCGCTGGTTCAATTCCCAGTCAGGGCACAAGCCTGGGTTTGGGCTCCATCCCCAGTAGGGGGCATGCAGGAGGTGGCTAATCCGTGCCTCTCATATCGATATTTCTCTCCCATTCCCTTCCTCTCTCTCTAAAATAAATAAAAACATATTTTTTTTTAAATTAGAAATGTTTAGGTGATGTGCTGTGGAGAGGTGTCCATTGGGTTACTTTTTCTCACATTGCTACTCTAGGTTTCTTGCTTCCCTATCTTGTTGAATGTAGACTTCTTTACCTACCCTTGACCTATTTGACTTTCAGACCATGTCAGATACATTCCTAAATAATAAGTAGCTATTTAGGAATACCCATTATGTAAGTACATTATTATTTAATTATGTAGTTACATAGTTAAGTTTCCTACATTTTAACAAGATCATACCAAGAGCTGGGTAAATTCTTAAAATTCGATTTTTAAAATTACATTTTTGTTGTGCCTACTGGCCCTATCAGGCAACAGTAAAACATTGAAGATGTCTGTTTTGCATAATTGTTTTCCACACCATTTAATATGCTTTGCTTGTGTCATTTATCAACAGGATACAAATAGCTGGATTTTTGGCTGCATAAACAGCACTTCTATGTGGTAAGTTCTTTGAATCTATGGCCTTCCATCGTTCATTTTTCTCAACGTAAACACACTCACAAATTACACTTTCAGAATAGCTTTATACTTTTTAAACTCGTTTTAGTGCTGTATACTAAACTAAAGTATTGGCTTTAAAGTGAAAAGGGAAATCAACAAAGCAGTAAGTTTGTAAACATTGAAATAGTTGGCTGCTGGAAAGACAGGTTTTTGGTTCCAAAAGGACTATGTGGGTAGAATATCTTATGTGAGAATGTTTTAGACTTCATGTCATTAGAACTCTCTCTGGTAGCTCTGTGGGTGATTTCTTTGTCCTCTGACACTTACTTATCCTTTATAATACTTTAATATGTATGTCCTTTAATTACATGTGTCTCTTTATTCCACAGCCAGCAAGGTGTTGACTTATCATGGAAAGCTGAACTGTTGCCAACAATTAAGGTAAGTTGTGGCTTTAGAATTTTAACATTTAGGTGAAAAAAAATACTTGAGCCTATAGGCATTTTAGAATATGGTATTTTATTAATTCATCTAGGAATTTCATAAACTTAAGATTTGTTTATCTGCATTTTAGAAATATTTCTCCTAGAAATGGAGAGATTTAATGGAGAAAAATATATATTTTTAGTTTTCAGAGGTAAAAACAAACAATTAAGTTAATAATGCTCTAAATAAAATGAAATGGATGTGTGAACCCAGCTTCTGTCTGAGCAGTGCTCCTCCTGTGGGAGTGCACTAATCACCAGGAAGCAGCTCTTGTGTTGAGCGTCTGCCCCCTGGTGGTCAGTGCGCATCATAGCCACTGGTCGTTCTGGTTATTCCAGTCGTTCTGCCATTACAGTCGCTGGGCTTTTATATAGAGAGATAAGGTAGATGTCTGTTGCAGAAACAGTGCTGTTCATTGAGGAGAAGCCCAGGAGTTTGTTTAACATGCTCTCCCAAGGGAGTCTGACTGGCTTCTTAGACGGCCACTCACACACAGCTCTCCAGCCTCAGAACCTCTCGGGGGCTGCCCACAGCTGCCCTGCAGTGCCAGGAGAAAGTTATCTGCAGTAATGTCTCAGCTTGTGCACAAATTGTAGCAATATGTCACTACCCCACCTCTGCATGAACTTCCAGGGGAAAAAGTGGCTTTTACAACCATTTGGTGACTTGGCTTTTCAATAAATAGATGTGTCTCCTAGCTCTTTATTCCTCAAAATATGGACATATAAGGTCTGGTCTTAATTTTGAGAAGAGGTGTTTATTTGGTGAGGTACCTTATTAGTCTTGTTTTGCTGTGTCTTCCTGTCATTGTACTGAATAGTCAAGAGATGATGGTCATATATACCATAAGCCAGCAACTCTTTACTACTTGGGCTTGATCAGAATCATTTGAGATTAGGATCCAAACTCTGCCATCCATTCATTCATCAACTGTTGAACTTCTGTCTTGTGCTACCAAAATAAATGTAGAGATATTGCTGTAACATTGAAACAAATAGACACATTATAAAAAGAAAGGGCATCTGGAAATAATTATGTAAGATATTTAAATTTGGTGCTCAATGTCTTTTGTTTCACATGAAGGGACAGATACGGTTCAAGAGATGCAGGACTATTTTGGTAGTCTGTATTCACGTAATTGTTAGGAATTTGACTTTCAGCAGGATTACTGACCTGGAAATATAAACATGGGTAGTACCTTATGAAGCATGGGTAGTACCTTATGAATATAAAAGTTTGAAATCTGGTTTTTTTAAATAACATTATATAACAAATAGTGTTTGTGATTTATTTTTCTTTTAACATGCTTCCAGTTCCATATAAATCAGCTCTGTACTTTCACTTTTTTTTTTTTTTTTTTTTTTTTTTAGTCTCTAACGTTAAGACTTCAAGACTATCCATCTTTGTCTCATCTTGTTGTTTATGTACCATCGGTCCATGGAAGTAAGGTAATGGATGGGTTAACGTCATTATCAGAATGTGTTGGGGCCACTCAACGCTAAATGTTTGTTCTTTTTTGATGAATTCATCAGCATCGGGCTTGCCTAAATGCCAGTCTAGTGATTAACCTAAGACCGGTAGGACCAGTCTGACTGGAACTAAGCAGAATAAACCCAAGTCTCTTTATTCCAAGTCGGAGCATCAGTTTTCCAAAATCTATTAATTATTGAGACCATTTTATATGCAAGAGTCTATTCCAGAATTATATAGGAAGCCCACAAATGAGGAAGAAACTGACCCCATTCTTAAAAATATACTTGGGTAGGGGAAGAGAAATATATTTAGAAATAGGGAACAGAGTGAGAATAAAAGAGGTACTCAAAAAAATACACAATGCACTAGTAATTTTTATTAAATTGAGCTTGCTCATCAAATTTTCTTAGCTTAGCATCTCTCCTTGAGACATGCTTGCCATTTTAGCCAGAGTCAGGGTGTGGCACATAATACCTTCCCCAACGCTGGCGACTTTTATTCTCCACTCAAACATCAAGGTGTTTTACTAAAATTCATTGTTATTTTCTTTCTAATAAATCAGTGTTTCTATTTCAGTTTGTTGTGGATTGTGAATTCTTTATAAAAGAGACAAGATCCATACAGCTTCATGTAACACATCTTTTTTCCTTCGGTAAGTGCTTTGCTTTTGGAAACCTGAAGACTTGCTTTGCTTTTCAGCAGTGCTGATTTCTCTCACAGGGCTGTTGCCATAAAGCAGAACCATGAAAAAGACTATTGTTGTGTATTTCAAGTGTAGTCCTAGACTCACCATGTGATGTGTTCTTATTTAATACTGGGCCAGCCGTCATCTCCTGAGGAGGGAACTTATTTATTTATTTATTATTTTTTTAATTTCTTTATCGATTAAGCTATTACATATGTGTCCTTATTTCCCTATTTCTCTCCCATCCTCCCTTTCCCCCACTCGAGAAGGAAACTTTAAAATAAATGTATCCATGGTCACATGCGTTTGTGTGTGTGTCTGCGTGTGTTCTCATATGAATTCATGCTCAGTATTGGCCCTTTTTATAAAAGGCTTATTATAAGGTATACATGTCTGCCTGCCCTGTGACAGTCTCAGGATTTCTCTAAATACATGTAACTCAGGATTCTTTTGCATTTTATGATGAAGTCATTTTAGACTTACAGAAAGAGTACAGCGTTCCTGTGCACCCGTCTCCTCGCCTTTCCGTAACGTTGGCCTCGTGAACAATGCAGCTGTCAGAACTAAGCAGCTAGCGTTAGCGTCGTGCTGCTCACCTCGCCGCGGGCTGTCTTTGGTTTTCGTGGGCTTCTCCACCTTTGTTCTTCTCCAGGGGCCCGCGTTGCTCTGAGGTTTTATGGCTCTTTCGGCTCCTCTAATATTTTCATAGTTCCTCAGTCTTTCCTTGTCTTTCCTTACCTTTGAAGAGCACTGGTCAGTTACTTTGTAGACGGTTCCTTGATTTGGATTTGTCTAAAGCTTTCCTATCAGTTGGTGTTACACATTTTTGGCAAGAGTATCACAGAATACTCTTAATATAACGAGTGCTTCTCCATGAGTCATAGCAGAGGACACGTTTCATCACTCGCTGTGTCTGATCAGCGGTGATGTGAACCTTGGCCACTTGGTGAAGGAGGTGTCTCCCAGGTTTTTCTACTGTGAAGTTACTGTAATTAATTAATATTTTGGGGGGAGATACTTTGTAAGTAACCTATTTTTTTTTCTTCAAAATAACCCATTAATCTTAGTATCCTTTAGTTCATCTAGTCTGAAGCAATTGTCACTGACACTCTATATTTACTAGAATTTTTCCTAAGGGAATGTTGTCCCTTCTTCCTGATTTATTTATTTATTCAGTTTTTATGTATGTCAGCAGTAGAGCCATGCATATTTATTTTATTCATTGGATTATGATTCAATACTATGGTTACTTTCTTGTTTAAGTTTTTCTGGTTTTGGATAGTGGAATCTCTATTTTTGTTGGCTCTTAAGCCATTCATGAAAAGATTCTATTCTACTTGATAGAGGAAACTTCCTGTAAGATTTTTATCCCTCCTCTACCCTTTTTTTGGTAGAAAAACACTGAGAACAGTACAGAAATGGCAACTCAGTCACTTAGCCCATTAAAGATAGCAAGCTTACAAAATGAGATCTACCAAGAAAGCTACCATATCGACACTGGAGATATGTATTTGGTTTCTTAAAGCACATGCATGTGATTGAAAGGCCTTGTAAATGTTTTGTTTTATCCAGAGTTTTTTGAAGAAGAATTGTATTTTTAGGAGTTCATGCCTTCATGTCAGAAGTCAGAACCTATAAGCTCTTTTTTAATATTAAAAATCGGTTGGCATAATTTTAATGTTCTTTAAGCAATTTGTACTTTGGTTATTCTTTGGTATTCTAAGTAATATGGTACTTAATTTAACAGGGTTATCTTCAAGGACAGTGAAATTAAACACAAACGGCCTATTCTATAATATAGAGCTTCTGAACTTTGGACAGGTAATAATCCCTTGTATAAGAAGGATTTGATTTTACTTTACTGTTTAGTTAAACAAACAAGTAAACTTCTTTTGTTTTTGTGATCAAATTTTATTAGATTTACCAAGCTTTTCAAGTCAACGTAGACAGCAAGTGCTCAGGAGTCAAAGGTCAGTGTGTTTTACAATAAGATATAAAGGTAATGTCATTTGAAAGATCAGCAGGTTTTCCCTTGAATTTGCTAAATTTATGTGAAGTATAATTTAATGTAATAGAAAAGCTGTTTATATTTCCAACGGATTTAATATAGACCCTTTCTTAACACACTGTGGACCAGTAGTTTTATTGCTAGCTTAACCCAATGGCCAGATAAGTTTCTATTGAACAAATACAAAAAACATTTTACATAAATGTTAAAGTCACGCTTTAAAATTAAACATCCATTGCATTTTGAAGTTATTACTACATGTCCTTACGTGCTAATATCTTTTTAAAGTATGATAATTTGTAAAACACTGTGTAATATGAAATGAGAATTCTTGTGATCCGTCCGCAGTATGTTAATAGTAAGCATCTACTGTTTTAGTTTTAACACCTATGATTTCAGAAAGAGAATAAGAGGGAAAGAAAGAGAAACATTAATCAACTGCCTCCCACACACACTACATGGGGGTTGGGGACCAAGCCCGGAACCTGGGCATTGCCCTAACTGGGAATCAAACTGGTGACCTTTTGGTACACAGGACAATGCTCAACCGACTGAGCCACACCAGCTCAGGCTTAAATATCCACATTTTAAAAATATTACCTACCTTACTGTTTTATTATAATAGTAATTCAGATTAGCTGCTTCATGTTTTTCCAGTTCCTTAGTCCTTCCCATATGCTCTTAATATCTTTTATAAGTCTAATATTATAAAGGTGCTCCAGTGCACGGACTCATGCACATTGAAAGGAAATTAATTAGAAGGCGGCCAGCAGGACAGGACTGGGCGAGACAGGCTGAACATGCCTGGAGCCAACCTCCTGCAGTCCCTCCCCAGCTGGTCCTACCTGGAGTAGGGCTGTGGCTCAAAGGGCCTGTATGGAGTGAGCAGGGTCTGTCAGCAGGTGGGGTCCCTCAGCCTGGCCTGTGGGGATCAGGCCAAAACTGGCTCCCCAGCATCCCCCAAGGGGTCCTAAATTATGAGAGGGTGGTCTCAGGTGATACACCCCGAAATCGGGCTCCCTCCTCTCTGGTTCCAGGATGCATCACCCAAGAACTGCCGCTGCCAAGTCACCACAGCTTGGCAGCTCCTGAATTGAGCATATGCCCCCTGGTGGTCAGTGCGCATCATAGCTACCAGTGAGATTGTCTGCCCCCTGGTGATCATTGAGGGTCATAGCTTCCAGTCAGACGGTCACTTAGCCCTTTTTTTTTTTTTTTTTTTTTAACATATTTTATTGATTTTTTTTCAGAGAGGAAGGGAGAGAGAGAGAGCTAGAAACGTTGATGAGAGAAACATCGACCAGCTGCCTCTTGCACACCCCCTACTAGGGATGTGTCCACAACCAATGTACATGCCCTTGACCGGAATCAAACCTGGGACCTTTCAGTTCGCAGACCGACGCTCTACCACTGAGCCAGACTGGTTTTGACAGCCTTTTATATATATATAGATTATTAATCATTCTCCATAATTTTCTATTATGTGATGTAACTCTTACTGGTTTCTTACAAACTACTATAATGATAACTACTACGATTAGTTAGGTATTATAGTAGTTTATATAGCATTTGGTGTGACATAAGGTTAGAAATACATGTTTTTTGTTTTGTTTTAACAGAAGAAATAACTAGTATCTATAAACTTCACATTCCCTGGTCTTATGAAGATTCGCTAACCATTGCACAGTAAGTATATGAAAGAATTTACCTTAAACTTTTGTTCTTTGAACAATACAAATTCTACTAAGTTTATTTAAATCAGAATGAAATCATTAAAGTGCCTCCTAGTAAAATGTAGAAATCCATAATATAGCATTGTGCCCGTAAGATAATATAACGTATAGTGTTCTTATTTAACTGATACAGATTGTAAACCTTAATTGCTTGAAACATGAATCCTTTCCCACCCTCTCCCCGACTCCTGTGCCCCGAGGGAACATTCAGACACCTGTGACCTGGTTGGAGTGTCTCTCTGTAACCATGTGTCTCACTCCCAGCACCCTCTCCCTTAGCATGCTGTGTTGGGCCGAGGACTGGCCTAACCGTTGTTATTTAATAACATTCTGTATTTGAGAATTGATATTTAAGTTACTTTTTAGGGTCCCGTCTTCAACAGAAATTTCTCTGAAACTCCATGTTGCCCAGCCAGACAATGACAGCCACGTAGCATCATTAAAGATGTACACGTCTTCCGACTGTGAGTATGAGGTAAGCCGTATGTTGGCTTCACTTTTAAGATTTAGCTATAGAATAAACTGCTGATGTATTTTTATAGTAGCTTCAGATACATGGTGATGCAGAAGGCAATAAACACTAGAAGTAGACATTCATAAAAAAAATAAATAGATTTGTATATTACTTTAAGTAGTCTCCATTTTACCTGTTAGCACCACCTCTGTGTTTTCTTAGCTGGCCCACTTAAAGTATGCATCTTAATAAGTAAGAGAAAATAAACTTAAAATTGCGACCGAAGTTTAACCTTTTCCATTTGGGAGCAAAGGTCCTTTGTAAATTGAAGAACATCCTGAAATCAGCTGTGGGGTTTCCTTTTCTCATCAGCACGATGCACATTGGTTCCTAGCTCTTGGATAAGCGTAAGGACCGTTTTTGCTTCTCACTATGTTAGTTTCTGTTAGTCATTAATCTGTGCAATTTAGTGCCTGTTGTGTTTGTGTTACAATCACATAGATTTCCTTGTGCTGAGGGAAGGGAAATAGAGCTCCAGGATAACATGTTACTAACCTATGGGTTCATGAACCAAAAGAGTCCCTCCCTGTATCAGAGCAGGCCAGGTCCTTAGTAAGGACCCCACAGACGGCTGTGGCTGAAGCAGACATTGGTGGTGACATCACAGGTTTCTAGTTTATGTGAAATATCTTGCTTCCACTGAACTGCACTCAGTCATTTAATAAATTCCTTTAGCTTGCATGATCTAGTAATTGAATTTTCTAATTAGTTAAATACTTTAGTTAGTAAAGGGTTACTATGTTACTATGGCATTCATTCAGTTGTCAAAAAATTAGAATATGGGGAAATATTTTACTGAACATTTGATACAAATTAAATGTTGGTGGTTCAAAGGATTCTTTTGAGATCTTGAGTGCCTTTAGGTTTATCACCATAAAAAAGTTTAATTTTTATTTAATAAAATGCTCAATTTAATAAAATGTGACCTGGAGAAGCTTTAGGGAAAATAACATTTTTCTTAATGATTGTTTTAAACTAGGTGACGATTAAGACTTCCTTTCCGCAAATCCTTGGACAGGTAAGAGAGACCCCTGTTTGATTATTGGTTGTCTCGTGAATAGGTACTATAAGGCAGGGGTTGCAAAATTCTGGAAAGGGCCAGAGAATTAACACTCAGCAGACCACCCGTGGCCTCCGGCTGCAGTCAGCACCACTGCAGCTGCTACTGCTGCTTCCTCCTTTCCACTTCTTCCTTCCTTCCACGTTAACAAAACCTAAACTTCACACTGGCCGCCCTGGCTTTAAGGGGCACTTGCCTGTTTGTGACTTCCTAGAAATGAGGGCTGATTCCCGATTCTCACACATATTCATGTTCTTGGCTAAACGGACGTCATATTAACATTTCATGTTGCTCGTATATTATAATTCATGGCCTAATAAAATCTGTAGACTCCGTCATATAAATGAACATTTTCAAAGAACTTTTAATCTTGTGCATGCTCAGTTTGTAAAAGGTGAAAAGTAAATTATATTCAATAAACATGTTGAAAAATAGTTCAAGTGTTGGCAAGGTTGCGGAGAAAAAGGAACCCTCGTGCACTGCTGGTGGGAATGCAGATTGGTACAACCACTGTGGAGAACAGTATGGAGTTTCCTTAAAAAGCTGAAAATGGAACTCCCATTTTACCCAGTAATCCCACTCTTAGGATTATATCCCCAGAAACTAGAAACACCAATCAGAAAGGATATATGTTCATAGCAGCACAATCTACAATAGCTAGGATTTGGAAACAGCCTAGGTGCCCATCACCAGATGATTGGATCAAAAAACTATGGTATATCTACACAATGGAATACTATGCTGCCATAAAAAAAAAGAAAAAAGAAAAATAGTTTAAATTTATTTGGAGAGCGTCTCTATAATTCATAGGTAAATAGTGTTACAAAAATAATTTATCAAGTAGCAGAACTGCTATATTATGATTCAACATCATTATAACTTGCAGAATTGTACAATAGATAATATTGATTTGTCAGAGAAGTTATATAATTTTAAAATTCATTAACACTTTTATTGTACCTTTTATTACTTTCACTTTATTTTTTGTGTTTTGCAATTCTGGCATAGCAGAATATTTTTAACTTAAATCATTTAATCCTATCATGATAATAAAACTTACAAGCCAAAATTAAATTAGTACGTTTTTACTAGTATATGCAACATCTCACTTGATCCTCACAACAACCTGATGAGAACTAGATTGTAAGTATTGTTAAATTTGTGAACATTAGGAAATTGTAAGTTAAGTGTAAAAAATTTGTGCTACATTATAAAGAGATTAAATGTTAGTACAAGTTGGAAAATAGCATCATGGAGAGTTGTAATAAGTAAAACGTTAAGGGATCAATTAATAAGAAAATTTATTATCTCTTGGAATCCATGCTATCATATGTTTAGTATGTTCAAAAGACATGTTATTGTGCCTGGATGTATGGGCTGAGGGTATAACATACTCTATTCTCATGTCATTCTGGCGCCTCATAATTTAGGTCGGTGACAAAGAAAAGTCTAGTGCTCCATAGCCAAGCCCAACTGCACGTGCATCAGGGAAGGACAGCTAGCCGGGCCGGTGAGGCGCAGCGGGCTGGGTGGTGTTGAATACGGAAAGGTTGCCGGTTCAGTTCTTGGCCACTTGCTGGCGTGTTAGGTTTTTACTTGTGCAAGTTACACATGCTCCCTGGGCCTCCGTGTCATCTGTAAAATCGGATAAGAACCACCTCAGAAGGTTTGCGGGAGGAGAGCACGAAATAATGCCCACAAGATGCTGAGTGCCGTGCCTGAAGTAAACGCTCAGTCAGCGTGCCTTGTATCGATAAAAAAAAGGGTGCGCTTATGACTCAGTTATGTATTTTCCTTATCGTGGCTCTGATGAGAAACTCAGACACCATGTTTCTAGTGTACTAGATATTATTAACATTTATTGTACGTAGAGTTCGACCCCCCATTACTGGAAACACCTTTGTGGCCACGTCACGAGAGAGGGCAGGTGAAGAACGACATTTTTATTTCACGTGAAAGCACACTTCCTGTGTTGGGGTGACAACGTAGAAGTCGTTCCTGGATTTGCCTGTTTTCTAGGTCGTTCGGTTTCACGGCGGAGCTCTTCCTGCTTACGTTGTGTCGAGCATCCTTCTTGCTTACGGAGGACAGTTATACTCCCTTTTCTCAGCAGGTAAGAATCTTATCCTTCTTCCCCCCACCCCACCCCACCCTCGCTCCTCCCTCCCTCTGTGCTTCATTACTACTTTTTCATCTTTCATCTGGTTAAGGAAGAGAATCCATTTCTTGATCATTTATAACTCATCTCTCTCACGTTTCCAGGGATTTGAGATCCTCTAAGTTTTAAAAGATACCCAAGAAATGTCTTAACCCGTTTTCTCCATTGTACACCCTTGTGCCTGAGATTCCTTCCCTCTGGTCTGTGGACCTCTCAGTGTGGAGAGGCTGATCAGCAGGGATCTAGTTCTCCGTTCTGTTCCTGGTACATAACGTAGCGCCAGGCACAGAGTAGGCGTTCGGTGTAACGTTTGAGCTGTACCAACTATTAATTGGGCTGGCACATTGAGTGGAATGATAGGAGAGTGTAATGTTTCCAAGGTCCCCGTGTGTGCAGGGTAACAACAGAACATGATAAAGTGCCGGATGAGCCACCTGATACGGTGGGGGCCGGGGCCAGGGAGAGAGCTGCCGAGCGAGCTTAGGAAGAACAGCATTGCGGCAGCAGCAGGCTGCAGACAGGGACGCTGAGTCTCAGCAGGGACAGGCGGGGAAGCAAACACCTTCTCCTGCCTGCCAGCGCCTTTCAGTCGCTGAACCTACGTGAAGCCAGACCGTACAAGGCAGCTTCCCAGCATGGAGAGTCCAGCAGGGTGGAGACTGGAGCTGGAGAGGCCACTGGAGGACATACAGCGCATTGACAGGCCTCCCGGGGAACAGCCGTGGGACACTTTCCCAGGAGACTCACCTTCCAAAGGTCCTTACATGCGAGAGGAGAGAGGATAGAGCCAAAATACATAGCAGCAGTCAAAGGTCTCCGTTGTTTCCATTTTGCCAAGTCCTCCTGCAGGGATTGATTCCCTTGAATGTGGCTTGTTATAGTTTCCAGGCTGCCCCTAAGTTACATTCCAGGAAGAAAGCAACAACATTCGCTGCACTCAAGAGGTCATTTTGGGAATATGACATCACCATACATGAATGTAAATATTTTTGGAAAGTTTGAAAGAGATGTCTCATCCTTCTGGGTTTTAAGTGACTTGATAGTTGATTCTCAAATATACAGAATTTATACCTAGAGAATTCATAGAGACCCCAAAGATATATATATATATATATATATATATATATATATATATATATATATATACACACACACACACACACACACACACACACACACACACTGAGTGGCCAGATTATTATGATCTCTGATGCATGAATTAGTGCATGGCTGGGGTCCAACCAGCCTAGCCAGGGGGAGGGGACATAGTTGCCTGGCCTTCCTGCTGATGGAACTCCTGGTCAAGGGGATAATTTGCATATTAGCCTTTTATTTTATCGGATATATACTGAATGGCCAGATTATTATGCATTCAGAGATCATAATAATCTGGCCACTCAGTGTATGTGTGTGTGTGTGTGTGTGTGTATGTGTATGTTAATCTAGAGGATTTACGTATGGGATTCTGTCTCAAACCAGTTACAGAAGTAATTCGATTCTGTCTCAAATCAGTTACAGAAGTAATTCTGAACCAAGGATGTTTATAAAAAATTATCCTGGGTTGTGCTCACTAAAATGATGATAAATAGAAAAACAGAGGTGATATCAGTGGTAATGAGGGCGTGGAGAAATGGGGGCATTCCTGCTCTGCGGGTGGGCTTCACTGCCACACCTGCGTGCTCTCACTGACAGTGTGGGAGATAGCGTGTCGCCCTGTAGTTGCTGTGGGTTCTTTACTGCCTGTCATGTCTCCTCAGGTCATTGCTTAGAATATGCTACTATGTTGGATAAAGAAGCCAAACCGTACAAAGTTGATCCTTTTGTGATTATGATTAAGTTTCTGTTGGGGTAAGTTTTATTACCTGTGGTAATACTTTTAATTTTGTATTGTATATAAAACATTATGTTTGTTTCCATAGTGGAATATACATTTTCATACAAATATGGCAATTGACTTGTTCTAATAAATGGGATTTTTCTCTTAGACAAAGGCCTGATAAGTATATCAACGTTTACTTTAATAGTATAATCATTGAACATATGTGTGTGTGTGAGTGTGTGTGTAAGAGTGTGTGTGTGTGTGTGTGTGTGTGTGTGTGTGTGTGTGTGTATATATATATATATATATATATATATATATATATATAGACTTAGACTGTAAATACACCAGGCCTGTAGCATTTGTGGAGGGATGAATATGACCTTTGAATAGCCCAGATCATGAGTAAACCATTGTAGGCTGCTGATGAGATGGGGCAAGATTACTTTTTCTTGCTTCCCATACAAAGTACAGTGTAGATCTCTCTATCCTACTTAACATCCTACTCTTCATTTATACAAATTTGGTTTTTGCTTAAGAACCATTGCTTAGATCTTTTTTCTTCTGTCATTAAAACTGGCTATTGGCCTTCTAACATTGAAAAAACCACACACCACTTATGATTTCATTACAAGGAGCAGTAAGACCAGTAACGCTGCACTGAGTCTCATGGCTCAGATCCTCGGAGATCAGTAGACTCACTGGGAAGACAAATGACTTCAAGTGTGTTTTTAGTGTAATCACAAACCCAGTACCATGGCAATGTGGGGACTCTAGGGAATGGTCACACACCTCCCCTGTTGGATCCTTGAATGTCAGTTGGTGGTTTTTGCTTTTACTTGTTGTGTTCTTTCACCCACAGGTATCAGTGGTTTAAGGAAATATGGGATGCCTTGCTGTTACCAGAGTTAGATGTCATCGTCTTGACGAGTCAGAGCATGTGTTTCCCCCTGGTCTCCCTGATCCTTTTTCTGTTTGGAACGTGCACTGCCCACTGGGGTGGCCTGCTCTGGTCCACCGCCCTGAGGCTCCTGTCCTCACTGTGGCTCACCTTGAAGAGGTAATGAGGGAATGAGGGAAAGCTTTTTCGTTGCTCCTCAGTAAGAAGAAAACTGTATTCCGATGAGGAATCTTACTGTTAACCTGCTTCCATTAAACGGTACCTTCTCAGGAAGAGGTTTTAACTAACAAATCCTGGGTCCGTGCTGAAAGTTGTATCATTGTCAGAGATAATTTTATTTTGAGTTCATAAGAAATGGTAGGCAGATTGCACAGGTATTTTTAAATTTCACTGTTATAGCTCTCGCCAAGGAGGAAGTGTTTCTGGCAGTGCATTTGCTATGCTCATTTTCAGGCAGACCGGAGGGCAGGCCACTCCATCAATAGACGTGGGCTCCGGTGAGAGGAGGTGTGTCAGAGCTCCAGCAGCATTGCCTGTGGTATTCTTATGGGCCCTCAGACATAATTTGAAATTGCAGGGAGTCTTTTCTGATAAACCACAGACCTGGTTTCCTCGGCCACGCCTCTCACCAAACACGTCACCACTGCCACCAAGGGTGATGCTGCTTCCTCCGCTGTCACGTGTGTGAGTGACCTTGAGGCTTGAAGAAATAGAAAGCTGTTTCTCCACCTGTCCAGATCTAACACGTGGGGCACAGGGCCTGTGATTATTGATTACCGTGAGCCCCATTGTCTTCTTCCTCAGAACAAAGGTCGGCCATACTGAATCTAAATGGAAGAGGAGCTGTCACCGTAGATTATAAAACTTACAGTCACACATGTGTCACCCCTTGCCTGTATTAAAAGATGACTTACTATTAACCTTATGGCACTTGCATGTTAAGCAAGAAAGCCTGGCAGAGTACGGTCCTGGCTGCGGCTTGTGTGTGATTGTATAAATGACAGGAGTTTTTCTTGTCTTCCCAGGCCCTCCGAACTTCCTAAAGACATCAGGATGCTCTCCCCACATTTGCCCCTGCTGACCACTGTTCTGATCGTAATCAGTTGGGTGACGTGTGGAGCATTGGCCATCCTTCTCATGTACCTCTACTACGTGTTCAAGGTACATCAGACCTGCAACGGCAGAATGGCTGGGCTGGGTATCAGGCAGCCGTACACTTTCCTGTGCGTGTTGTTAACAAACACTCTGATTGCCGCTGCAGTGATTTTATGTTGTACAACAGGCTGAAATTGAAGGTTTTTAACATCTTTGTTACTTAAAATATATAGTTAACTGTAAAACTGAAATTATTAGTCTGAGTTGAGTTAGTTAAAAAAAAAAATGTGGGGAGAGGAGGGGAAAGATATGATCTGTTTCAAATTACTTCCTGCTCTTGCAAGTAATGTTATCTTCTACAAAACATGTCACTAGACTTGCAGTGGTTGGCAAACCAAGGCTCTCGAGCCACATGTGAAGTTTGAGTTTAAAAAATATGGCTCTCAAAAGAAATTTCAATCATTGTACTGTTGATATTTGGCTCTGTTGACTGATTAGTTTGCCATCCACTGCCCTAGAGCAGTTTTTATTCATAACCCCCCTCTCAACGGGGGTTATAGACAAAACAAAACGTTAGGTCAGTAGGATCCAGCTTTCAGTCATGCTGAAATCTTGTATTCTGTTACCTATGTTGCTAAAGAATCAGAGGACAATGATAAAAATAATTTGGCTGATAATTCTACTGGGAAGTAACACTTTCAGGAAGCTGCTAGCTTCGCAGGAAAATATACACTGCATACTCTCCACATTAGTCTTTTTTTTTTTTTAATATATTTTATTGATTTTTTACAGAGAGGAAGGGAGAGAGATAGAGAGCTAGAAACATCAATGCGAGAGAAACACCAACCAGCTGCCTCCTGCACACCCCCCACCGGGGATGTGCCTGCAACCAACATACATGCCCCTTACTGGAATCGAACCTGGGACCCTTCAGTCCGCAAACTGACGCTCTACCACTGAGCCAAACTGGTTCTGGCTCCACATTAGTCTTACTGTAGAGATGGTTGACTCCAGAAAAGGTAATTTTTTTTTCTTTTTCTTTTTGTAAACCAAGGTTCATTTGCATCTGCTTTTAACACTAATACATGCAAATATATGCACATTACAGGTTATTTTCGTCAGGAAAAAAAACTATTTAGAACTACTCTGATTTATAAATATAATATTTTGAGTTTTTAATTGAATATTTTAAACAACTAACCCAATATGCAAAACTTTCTAAAATACTTACTATTATAGTAAGCATGGGAGAGGACTGTGAGTGGAAAAGGGGATGCATATAATACTTTCAACAAAAAAGAATTTTAAGAAATACTTAAGCAAATCCAGTAAATTAAACTTACAAGACATTATCAAGTTCTTATAAACATTTTACCACCAAATGTAATTGAGTTCAGATTTTCAAAGATTTGCAATATATAAAATGTGCTAAACTTTATACTACACTGAATATAGTCAGATGTTTTATTCACAAGACACTTTTAAGTTGCTGCAGCAAGGCATTTAAACAGAGGCGCCTGAGCCTATGAGGTGTAACAGTATATCCTGGCCCCAACAAACACTGGAAGTTTGTATTGTTTGTTTTTTAATCCATGGTAGCAAGTGTGTGTAGTTATTTATCTTTCCTAAAAGAATAATTTTAAATTTAAATGTTAAAGTGAATTTTTAATCGTTCAGATTTTTTAAAATTTTAGATTACAGTGCTTCTCAATTTTGATATAAGCAAAGTAAAATTAAATGACCATTTCTTTTTCCTAGATTGTTCATCTGCAAGCCAGTGTAACAAATTTTAAAAATAGCCAAACTGTGGTAAGTTTTATTTTCAAAACTCTACATCACTTGAATATGAAAGAACATGGAAAATTTTTAAAGTTTAGGTGTTTTTTTTTTTAATATTGGGATTTCACACTGTTTAAATGGTTTTATAAATTTAAGTAATTTTATAAAAAGTGAACCAAATGGCCCGACTGGTGTGGCTCAGTGGTTGAGCATTGACCTATGAATTAGGAGGTCATGGTTCTATTCCTGGTCAAGGGCACATGCCCAGTTTGCAGACTCATTCCCCACTGGGGGACATGCAAAAGGCATCTCATCATTGATGTTTCTATTGCTCTCTCCCTCTCCCTTCCTCTCAGAAGTCAGTAAAAATATATATATTTTTTAAAGTGAACCAATGTGTCAAAACTGGTTTGGCTAAGTGGGTAGAGCGTTGGCCTGGGGACTGAAAGTTCCCAGGCTCGATTCCAGTCAAGGTCATGTACCTTGGTTTCGGGCACATCCCCAGTTAGGAGGTGAGCAAGAGGCAGATGATTGATGTTTCTTTCTCATGGATGTTATCTAACTCTCTATCCCTCCTCTCTTTTCATCTCTATAAAAGTCAATAAAATATATATTTTTTTAAAAATGAACCTAGTGAATATTAAAATAGAGTTGGATTCTCTAAGTTTAATTTGTCAGTATCATTTTTGTTATTACAAACTATATTTTAAATTTTATTTTAACTAATTACTTAGACAATATATGCTCAACAATGGAAATGGCAAGTCAAAGGAATAAAAGTTTTATCACTGAAAACCTCTTCACCACGAGGTAATTTCAGTATTTTCTACCCGTTTGGTGATAGACAGGTGCATTTATTTATTTAGCTCTTGAGTCATTGAATGTGATTCTACATGAAGTAAGCTTAAATTTTACTTCACTTCTTGATGTTTTTCCCTGATTGCTCCACAGAATCCGAAACACTCTCGACGGAGTGACAAGAGATGCAATCAGCACAAGGAGGCAGCCCACCCGCCCTGCCTGTCGGCCAGCGAGGCCGAGGACAGCCTGCGCATGCACAGCACCGTGGCCACGCTGCTGGCCTGGGTCGTGCTGCTGTGCGTGCCCTCGCTCATCTACTGGCTCAAGAACCTGCGGTGTGTGCTGCTCGCTGACCGTCACGGGTGGGCTCACACGTAGTGACCTGCAGGGGCAGGAGGCTGTGGAGCCCCTGGAACTTGCACTGTGAACTGTGGGGAAATACACTTCCCCAAAATCTGTCCCCCAAAGAGGGAAAGGCCACCTTCTACCTTCTTTGGTCTAGGCGTGGGAAAATGTGCTTTGCTTGGTTGCTTTAAGGCACTCATACTGCTAGTGCTCCATGTGTTTTTCAACCCATGGTCAGTTTCATGTTTTCTTAAATTTGGGGGGAAGAAAAATCCTTCCATTTAAAAATAACTAGAAATAATGAAAGAAGTGTGTATTTTTCTAACATGGCGGCCCAAACATTGAACTAAAATAAATGACCCACCGTCTTACTAAGGAAAACTAGCATTTCTTTGCTGCCTTGATAAGTGCCCTACATCAGTGGTCAGCAAACTCATTAGTCATCAGAGCCAAATACCAGCAGTATAACAATTGACATTTCTTTTGAGAGCCACATTTTTTAAGCTGCTTCTAACGCCACTTCTTCAAAATAGACTCACCCAGGCCATAGTATTTTGTGGAAGAGCCACACTCAAGGGGCCAAAGAGCCGCATGTGGCTCGCGAGTCGCAGTTTGCCAACCACTGAGTTAGGTCAATAAGAATCTGAAATGTCCTCTAAGATATTTCTAGAATATTTAGTTATTGATAAATTGTTTCAGGAAAATAGGCTACCTTTCTAAGTAATCATTGAACCTCTACTCAATATAGTTTTCAGAAATTATATAAAACTTTTAGATTATCTAAATACTGGAAATCTGCTTTTTAGTTGATGGAACCAAAATAAGTGTGATAAGTAAAATCACAGGTTACCAAATGTTAACCTCCTTCCTTCGTCCTTCCTGTTAGGCAAAGATCAGATTTTTGTTCACATATTTGGGGAGAGTTATTGAAGGAGCACAAATTTATGATTCTGAAAGGCTACAGAAATTTCACTGTCAATAAATTCGAGAGAGGAGAATTTGAATTTTAAAAAGATAAGGGACAATTACTTTATATAAACCTTTATTTCATCTTTCTTTTTAAGCAGCCTTAATGTATTTTCAGTAATTTGTTTTATATGCACTTTCAGGCATATACTAATAAAAAGGAAGTGCGTTCATAATGAATATGTTTTTATCTCCTGTAGTAGTTTCTGAACATAATTCTCCATATAAAACTTGGGTATAAAGATGACCTAGAGCAAAAATTATTTATCAAAGATTTCGTGAGCTGCTGAGAGCTCTCTTGTGCTTCTTTTGTTACTTAGATGTTTGGAAATTTTTTGAAGTTGATTGCCTCTGATCATGTGGGATGCTCAGGTGTGCCTTACTGATTTATGCTTTATTTTTTTCTCTCTTCAATATAGGTATTACTTTAAACTTAATCCTGATCCGTGTAAACCTTTGGCATTTATCCTTATTCCAACTATCGCAATTCTTGGAAATACTTACAATGTTTCAATAAAATCAAGGTATGGTTGTTTAATTTTTCTTTTTCTCACATCTATTCCTGGCTTCATCACCCTTTCTTTTATAAAGTCTGGAGCATGCTCTTCCTAATACTTTGACTATTTCTATAGGGAAAACTATAATAATAATTACGGTATAAATGCAAATAGAGTTTATATGAAAGTATTTTTGTTTTCTTTTTAAAAAATATATATTTTATTGATTTTTTACAGAGAGGAAGAGAGAGGGATAGAGAGCTAGAAACATCGATGGGAGAGAAACATTGACCAGCTGCCTCCTGCACACCCCCTATTGAGAATGTGCCTGCAACCAAGGTACATGCCCTTGACCGGAATCAAACCTGGGACCTTTCAGTCCACAGGCCAACTATTCACTGAGCCAAACCAGTTTCGGCTATATTTGTTTTCTTAATTATGGGTTTTACTTATTAGGATATAATAATGGTTTGTTTGTTTGTTTTTTCTTTAAAAAGTTAACCTTTAAAAGATAAGATGTCTAAGATTTATTTCCAAAAAATATGGGCGTGGAAGTGGATAGTAATATAGGTAAAGTAGCTTTGGCCATGACTTGATAATCATTGAAACTGGATACAGGAGGTTCATTGTGCCATTAGTCTACTTGGGTCCATTTATGTTTAAAGTTCTGTAGTAAAACTTGACTTTTCATTGGCTGGTGGTTTGCTCTCAGAGCCCTTCCTGTTAATTCTGGCAGATATTCTAGAATCAGGCGGGCCTGGGATTTAATCTTGGCTCTGATATCAAATAGCTCCATAATTTTTAGGCAATTTCTCAACCCCTCTGTGTCTTTGTTTGCAAAGTTAAAGGTCTTTCCTGATAGAGCAGACACTGCTTGTGCAAATGCTTCCCTGACTCATGATGGGTTTATGTCATGATAAGCCAGCTCAGCACAAATTGAAAAAACCGTCATCGGAAAATGCACTTAACACTCCCCCAGAGAACATTGGTGGTGGGCTGGAACTGCGGCTCCTGCTGCCGCCCAGCATTACAAGAGGGCTTTTTACCACCGACTGGCGGTCAGAAAAAGATCAGAATTCACATTGTAATTTCTGTTGAGTGCATATTACTTTCGCACCATCGACAAATCAAAAAAACTGTAACCCTAACCATCATAAGTCAGGGACTACCGTGTTTCCCCGAAAATAAGACATCCTCCAAAAATAAGACCTAGCGCATGGAAAAATAAGACATCCCCTGAAAATAAGATCTAGCGCATCTTTGGGAGCAAAAATTAACACAAGACACTGTCTTATTTTCGAGGAAACAGGGTAGCAGTATTTCCTTTTAAAAATATTTAGTGTCTTATATGTTCCTCTTACGAATTGAGGACAGTTCCTTTTTTATTTCGTGGGTTCTTTTGCTATTTTAAGTGAGGTTAAATAGTTCAGAAGCTGAGTCTTAGTAAATATTATCGATTATTGTTGTTAGGATAGATTTCTAGAGATAGAATCACTGAATAAAAGTCCAGATAGTATTTTTCTATTGTTAAAATTTAAAAGGTGAGCCAAAACCGGTTTGGCTCAGTGGATAGAGCGTCGGCCTGCAGACTGAAAGGTTCCAGGTTCGAATCTGGTCAAGGGCATGTACCTTGGTTGCGGGTACATCCCCGGTGGGGGGTGTGCAGGAGGCAGCTGATCGATGATTCTCTCTCATCGATGTTTCTAACTCTCTACCCCTCTGTCTTCTTCTCTGTAAAAAATCAATACATTATATTTTTTTTAAAAATCAATAAAATATATTTTTTTAAAAAATTAAAAGGTGAAACAAAACTAGTTACTTTATGGAAATATTTTTTTATCTTTTCTAACCACAATATGGCCTGGATGGATCATTTTTTAAATTACGGACAGTGGAATTCATTGTGTGAAAAACTGCTTCCTCTTAAAACACTGAGAACACATTCTCAGAACCGTACCCATGGCCAGCATCCTGTGTGTTTGCTCCGGGCGGACATGATGTAATGTGTGTCTCTCTCTCCACAGTAAATTGTTGAAGACCACGTCCCAGTTCCCGCTTCCTCTGGCTATCGGCGTGATTGCCTTCGGGTCCACGCACCTGTACAGGGTCCCCTGCTTTGTCTTCGTCCCGCTCGCGCTCCACGCCCTGTGCAACTTCATGTGAGGGAGGACGCAGGCGGCGATGAGTATGGCCTTCGCCCCCGGGCTCCGAGGTCAGGGGGACCTCGCAGACCCGTCAACATGGACGAGACCCTTCGGAGAAGACGCGTGTATTTTTGCATCGCTGGGCGCCGTGTTCTGTGGTGTGGCGTCTGTGCACTGGTCGCTGTTTTGTTGTTGTTGTTGTTGTTTTTTAATATATTTTATTGATTTTATACAGAGAGGAAAGGAGAGAGATAGAGAGTTAGAAACATCGATGAGAGAGAGTCATCGACCAGCTGCCTCCTGCACACCCTCTACTGGACATATGCCCGAAACCAAGGTACATGCCCTTGACCGGAATCGAACCCGGGACCCCTCAGTCCCCAAGCCGACGCTCTATCCATTGAGCCAAACCGGTCCCGGCCGGTCGCTGGTTTTTAATTGGTGAAAGGACAGGGCGGACGTGGACCTGTCTGAGCATCAGCTGGTCCAGACTGGCCACGCAGGTCGGGATCGTCCGCTACGCACTCAGAAAAGCGGGCGCATTCCGCTCCTTTCATCAAACTTCCTTCGGAGAAGTGGGCCACTTTGCAGCTGTGAGAAGTCCTCCGATGCGGGTGAGATTCACAGCCAGCTGTGTGGTTTCTCCAAGATGAGGGGCCCCCAGAGAGGCTCTGGTCCGTCTTCAGCAGCTACAGCGAACGGCACAGATCTTTCCTTCTCTTCTGACATCTGTGGAAATGCACCTTTTTATCCTAAGGAGGCACGCTTTCTTAGAAACCAGTGCGACACTGACGGATGGAAACGTAACTCACACTCAAAGCGGAATGAGATTTCCTTGTGACTTTTCAAAATGCAGATCTTAGTCTTTTTCTTAGTGTCTCGGAGGACACGATAGCAGGGCCGTGTTCAGTCTGTTACCACTTGATTTATCAGGTCAGCCATTGACCGTGGTTGCCAAAAGTGCCTCAGGTCAAGAAGGAGTGTTACAAGAACTCAATGTCAGTGGTCAGGAAAAACTCTAGGTTTGCAGTTTTTGACTACCCGGGGGAGAGGGGGAATTAGCATGATCAAGTGCAGAACCACCTTTGATGCATACAATTAAATATGAATGGAGTAACAGAGAGACTGTTGACCCCATTAACAGCATAAGGATAAACAGTGTACCTGAATAAATTAGCTACTAGATTAAATAGGTGGAATATTAACTTGCCAAGGTGATTACTGTTTGACAGGTGAGAGAATAATATTTCTACTTCCTTTCATATTTCAGCTCAGTTGTAGCCAGAAGAGGAGGAGCAGGAAGTGGAGCTAGGTGTGTTTGCCTTAAGAAAGCCTAACCTCGGGCGGCGGGGTGCCAGCCAGTGGAGTCCTTCCTTTAGAGGGGTCTGCTGCAAACGCCCACAGCGGGTCCATCTAAAGGAAGTCCTTAGGGCTCGGTGATCTCCCTGCTGCACCCGTGAACTGGTGTCCCTCCCAGGGCCCAGAAATGTTCTGGAGTCTGGCCCATCTGCCATTGCATCGGGACCCCTTACAGCCTCTCAGCTGCCACTGCCTGTGGAGGGTCACCCCTGAACAGGGTCCCCCTTCTCTTCTCCGAGGTCCCTCAGGTCCTGGCCCTTCTGGCATCAGGTAACGAGGGTCTTGCTGTCTTTTCTGAGACAAGTTTGGTGGATTCCCTTGTCTTTGTCAACGTCACGCCTTGTGCTCCAAAGTCGTATTTGCTCTCACGCGTTCCATGGAAGGGAGGTGATAACCTCACGGGCGCCGCGGCGGACGTGCCAGGCTCTTATCTGGGAGAAGTAGCCAAAGGGATAAAACAAAGGCACACGTGTGCCACACCTGGAAGGAAGGAGAGTTGTGTAGGTTATACACTTGTCCCTGGGCCTGCCACGTATGTCTGTCCTAATAATCTGTACTAATGAAAGGGTAATGTGCTAATCACACTGGGAGACCTTCCGGACTAAGCCCTGGCTGCGAAGGACGAGGCAAGCCGCCAAGGCCGGGCGGGCCCATCGCAGAGCCCGGCAGGGTGGGCGGAGCCTCCCTGTGGGCAGCATTGATCGCAGAGCCCAGGCCTACTGGTCAGGGCCTCCCTCTGCGGGTCATCAAGTCCTAAAGTCTTTTACTCCAACAAGATATTTCATTTTAGAACAACAAAACGGATTCTAATTGAACATTTTAGAAACAGCAGTTGGTTGGGTCTTTAGCCATTATATGCATCAAACCGTGCACATTTTCAAAAAAAAAAAATTATTTTACATTTTGACAGGGTCTTCACCAAGTCTTAGTGCACTTTGAATCCAAACCCCCTCCAGAGGCGAGACAGTCGCTCTGCGGTGTGCAGCAGCGGTCTGGCACCGAGAGAAGGAAGTGCCTCTGTGTTGGTCGCATGTTGTTTCTGTCGTGCGTGCAGCCCATGTTCTCAGCGCACAGCCCCCTCGTGATGCTGCTGAAGCTGAGACGGCCTGTTGGTAGTCAGGGACTATATTTCACCAGACTCCTGGGCTCTGGCATTACAGCCTTTGTATTGGGAACTTGCTGAGTTTTGAGAAAGGTTTTGCTTATAAAAATCACCCTGGGCCCGTTGTTGATAATGGGGGCACATGGAGACGGGCAGGAAAACCACTCAGCACTCTGTGTGTCTAAGCCTCCCCGGATGTGATTGCTCTTACAGTCTAGAGCTGATGACACCAGATAAATCATGGGAGCTCTTTTTCATGCCGGAAATTAAACAAATTCTGCTAACTCTTTTCTATCAGAATGAAAATATTTAAAATCGTGGTCCTAGAAAAAATCATTTGGGCCTGGTTAACATTGATTTATTTATTTGTTTATTTATTTATTTTTAGTCTCTTCAGTATATATAAATTATATCAATCCATCTTTTTTTTTCATATTTTGGTCAGATAAGTTTAGATATATAGTGGAAACCTTTTCTTGATTGGACCCCACTATGATATCTACATGACTATACCGTAAGGAAAAAGCAAGAACAACAGTAGGCCTAGAAAAGTGTTACTCACACAGACCGTACTTAGAGGAGGTGTACTATCTGGTGTGTTCATTATCAAGTTCTACTGACTGGGTAGTATGTTTATTTCTCCTCGCTGCTCATTAACACTTCCTACCGAAGGTGGTCAAGAGAAATAAAAGAAGGTGAAGCTCAGCTTTCAGTTCAGTTCCCAAAAGCTGTGGGGAAAATGGAGGAAACACAAAGATTATGAGTCAAACTAAGGCTGTTGATTCTTGAATCCCAGATAATATACTTGGCCTATATTTTCATCTTAGGTATTGCGTCTACATTAGTGTAATGTCTTGCTTTACTGTGAGGTTGAGTGTAAAAACTTCCATTTGCAATTTTAGTAAATTAAAATCAGTTGGGAAATTTTTAGAAAATGAGTTGGGACCTCCTATGACTAGGCATTTGTTGGCTGCTTTTCCTCACCAGTCTGTAGATTTGTGACCTTTTGTATCATAGGAAACAAGGTGCCTTGTGAAGCCGGGCGGGGTGTCCATTTGGAGAGCATGGCACTCCCCAGGATAAAGGAAGCCACAAAAGCCTCTTCGAATTATGAAAATAGACCCTGACACTAAACTTTGGTAAATAGATGTAGAAGATAACTTTACAGAATATTAAGATGACTGGGAGCTAAACGTTATCCCAGTCTTGTTAAATAAAGGACAGCTCAAATTCTTTAGTGAGCTTTTTTTTTTTATACACTAGAGACCCAGTGCATGAAATTCGTGCACTTAGGGTCCTTAGAGGCTCCCATCTACTAGCCGGGGCCTCCCTGCTGCTGGCTGGGGTCTTCCTTCAATCCACACTGCCCCCTGGTGATCAGTGTGCATCATAGCAAGCAATTGAATTCTCCTTTGGTCAAACTTCCAAGGGGACACTTTGCTTCTATATATAGATAGATATTACTGATCATTCTTCAGCAACCCAAGGAAATAGGAAGTCTGTGAGCTGCTCACGTTCTTCATTGTTAATAAGGAAAGGTTGATAGAAAAGCCAGGCCAACACTCCGAATAAGTTGCAACAGATGCTCCATAGTTCACTGTTATTGAGAATAGATGATGAATACAGAAGACGGAATGTCATATATTCATAACGGAGTTTTAAGAATGTAACAAAATTTGGACATAGAATAGACGGCTATTTCATTAATAGTATAAATACAGGCAAAGACAAAAAAGTAGGCTTACAGTTATTCGTATGGAGATCAATAATAATGTAAGAATAAACTGTGCTTCACATAAACTTACAACTGTAAAAACCTACTCTTGCCTACCCCTGTATAATAGTACACCTGAATTGGTAACATGCTTCCAAAGTTAGGTGATAGTCTAAGCTACATCTTGATTACATTGCCCATGGCTGCACATTTTTAAATCAAGTACAGTACTGACTAAAAGCATTCAGTGTGTTATGCTTCCAAAAAATGACTTTTTTAAAATACCAAGTAACCAGTTAGTTTCTGATGACTTCATATAGAAGTTTATATATATGAGTCAGAATTTTCCTGCACTGATTCTGCACATTGTAACTTTGAACACTTATAGGAAAACTTGTTGTATTTTGATTAGTTTGAGTGTAAATTTGTTTGCATATTTGAGTCCTAATCTTAGTTTAGAAAGTCTAAAAATAGCCTTTTTTCCAAAGTTTGTAGGCTGTGTTGTTGTTTTTTTAATGTTATCTTGGTTTTTAGTATTTGTACAATAACGTTACTAGTAAAAGATTTATAAACAAAGAATTTAACTATTAACTGTTCAGAAGCCTAAATGATAGGCATACTTTATATTTCATGTTTCACTGATTTTGTTTCAGATTGAACTTTTTACATCCCTTTTTAAAGAAAAAGACACATTTGAATTTTTTTTTTTAGCATCAACCTCTACATTGGAAAATATAACTGTATTCATCTGGCTAGCAAAACACACTTAGCCACCAAAGCTAAGGAAAAATGTAATATACCTCCAGATATCTGTGCCAATGAACTTTTCTTAGTATATTGGGAT